ATGTCTTCCACTGTTTCAGACAGCTTTGTTTCCATTAGATTATGAATGAATCAAGAATTGACATTCCTGCACTCAGGACATTCCCGCACGTGCTCCGTCCCCTTCCTCGGTAGCCAGCTAACAGTCGACATGCTATTAGTACCAGTTGCAACCTGATTAAAAGTTGCCTATGTTTTCCCCTCAGTGTTGAATATCTCCCAGAATCTCTACTCAACCCCTTTGTCTTAGTTTCAATATAAGTGTTAAGTGTTGCTGTTGTGAACGATATAGGCCTAAATGTCCTGAAATTATATTTGTATATGTAACTATGAAAACCAGTGTTAACATGACCTATGTATTTTTTTACACCAAATAATAATGTTTAAAACCAGTGTTGCTGATACCTGTGTCAATAAAAATATGCTTTATATAATGAAAATTATAAAACTGTTGTTCTGAGGGAACAATAAAAATTTATAAAATAATATACGTCTTCTTGTTATTTATCATTGTTAAAACTAACAGAGAGGGTTACGGCCCGGAGAGGCATGATAATAACAGGGGCACCACTCCTCCCCCCCCCCGCCCCACCCACCTCGCTCACACACCTGACAATAACGCAAATTTCACATTAAAAAATGAGCCACTGTCGGGTTCAAGGCAGCAGGCTGACGAAGCTAACAGAGCTGAAGGACGCAGCTGTCATTTAAAGCCTCTATTTCTGATTTAAAGAAAGAAATGAAATCATTTCACGTTAGAGAATTCGATATTGTTCTGTCAGAAGGTTTCTTGTTCGCTCGCATGTTAATTGACTTCCATATATCTGCACCATTTGTTTTGTTTGTAGTTAATCTGTTACAGCGATTTTTCCTGTTTGTACAAATTAAATATTGTATTTTATTTCTCAATTTACGGTAAAGTTCGAAATTTGTCTTTTTCTGTACCGTATCTCGTTCCCTCGTGCCTTCCATAACTTCGCTAGTGATCAGGGGCCACTTAGTTTGATGTTTCACTCTAACTTCTTGGATGGATGGATTGATGGCCGACCTGTCTACGCGCGGACGCCCGGGACGGGATCTCCAGGAGCAAGACCTGTGGGTAAGAGGTAAAAAAAAAAAGAGAACAACACACAAATAAGGCCATTACACTTCCCGGTCCCACGGAACTATCCTGGAAGTTAACCCGGTCAATAAATGCTCGATGAAGTCGGATGTGTCAGCCGAAATGCGCAAATGCCGCAGCTCTGCTCTGCTGTAAACAGGCACAACGAATTTCCGTCACCCGTAAGAACGAGAAGAAGAGAAGATATAGCTAACTCCATATGGTCTGGGCACACTATCTTTTGTTTTCCTCAGTACATGCTTTATATCGCTCACTTGTACGGTGTTCTCAAACGTCTTCTCCCTGACTGTTCTGGTAAGATCACTAGCAACGGCTACTCTGATTGGACCTGTCATGCGTATCCGTCTGCTGTACAGAACTCTTAAAAAAAAAGTCTTTCCCTTTCCCCTGAAAGTTATCAGGACTTGACCGTTTTCCCAGTAAATCGTACCAACTGAGGTGGCCGCTCATCTATGCATACTCCAGCCATTGTTCTATGTCCACCAATCTCGTTAGCGAACTGCTTCAATTTCCCCTTTTTAGCACTTGCGACATATAGCTTGAGCTCCTCGGCAGTCTTCGCTTTCTTTTTGTTTTCTGCTGCTCTCACCTCCTCTTGCGGAAAGCAACACCAATTAAACCCTTTAGAACAACTTAACAAAATGGAACCGAAGGTAACCATATTCAAACAAACAATACTCAATAAAGATCGCAAATATAGGCATCATCTACATAGCTGAAAATGTCTGAACGCGATCGAATTATCTTTTTTCTTTTACAAGAAGCCAGCCAGCCTTTTGGTGAAAAAGAGACAACCCTTCTACTCGCTTTCGCTACAATGCCAACCGGCCAAACCTGCATCTAGAGCAGCGGTTCTCAACCTGTGGGTCGAACGACTCCTTCACAGGGGTTGCCCAAGACCATAGGAAAACACATATTCATTGAAGTAGCAACGAAAATAATTTTTGGGTTGGGGTTACCACAACACGAGGAACTGTATTAAAGGGTTGCGGCATTAGCAAGGTCAAGAAACATTGATCAAGAGAGTAAGTCTGTAGCACATGTTAAGTATTATGTGGTGCCCTCAACTTGTTCACAGTTCTGATTCCCCAATCTTGAATTTCTTTAGTGTGAGAAGGATGACTGGGTACTTATGACTGCGTCCTGGGTATAAAGTGTTTTAATGGGTTCTAATGGATGACATGTTCCGAGTCCCACCAACCCCCACACCCCCATTCTCTAGGCGTTAGTCACAATTACACGGTAGGCCAAGGATATGCAATCGGAGAGGTTGAAACCGAGTTGCATTTGTACATATAATAATATGTTATGCTAACCTATTCCCACTTTAATTTCAAATAAATATTGCAAAAACTGTTTAAAAAATGGAAAGCCAGCAACGTTTTTTTTTTCTCTCCATTATTTTTTTTTTCATGTGAAGCGTTGTGCAGCAGATACATAGAAGGCTAAATTGGAACATCTTATGAGCGAAATCGAAGGAGATAGATCACTGGGTAGGGTTTGGAGACTTCACAAACAGATGAAAAGGAAGGATTGACATATTACAACAGGTATTACACACATTGATAATGATATACCAATGACAACAGACAATGAGAAAGGGAAAGCGTTTTTGAAGAGATTTATAGTCCAAACTGATCATACTAATACGGAGTTTAGAAATTCAGTTAGAGATCATTTGTATAATACAATAAATGATAGTTATTTTGAGGATAATATTAGGGTAGAGGATATAAAACATGTATTGAAAAAAGCAAACGACACTGCCCCGGGGCCAGATGGAGTCAGGTATGCCCACATGAAGAGCATGAGGGAGGAAGATTTGAGGGAGATGGCTTTTTACTTCAACCAGAGCATCAGAACAGCTTCAGTACCCCAGGAAAGGATACACCGCTATCTAATTCCACTTCCAAAACCAGGTAAAGATCATTCCAAACTCAGCGGTGTCAGGATTATTACCCTACAAAATACTTTTGGCAAGTTGTTAGAGAAGATAATTGCTGTTAAACTACAAATGTTTTTGGAAAGCGAACAGTTTCTGCCAAAAGCTTTGGGCAGTTACCGGCCACGGAAAGATACCTGGTCCAATGCAGCTACTTTTGCTTTTGATGTTAATGAGGGGTTCCAGAATAGACAGGAGACGGCTGTGGCAGCACTTGGTCTTGAGGATTCATACAATAGAGTCAAAAATGATATTTTGATTTCTGCACTCATGGAGAAAAGGGTTTGTGAACTGGAGAGCAGCTGACCTGCATTCAAAGGCTCAAAGTTCTGCAGGCAAAGTCATATCTCAGAGTAGCTGCGGACAAGAGGCAACTCCTACATGAAGCCGTGGATATAGCTAAGGGTCACAGACTGAAAAAGGAAGGTCTTGGATGGCGCTAGCTGAAGACACAATAGGACATGTGTGCAGGCTTGTTAATAGGCGAGGAGAGGAGTGGGTCAAAGTTTCCGATCAGGTTTCAGATTTGTGTAGGGTTCTAATCATTTTGGGACATGAGTGCAGAATCAGAAGTTCAACAATGATTCTTGACAATTCCCGCCCAAATGATGTGATCATATGTTGAGAGGCAGACGAAGTGCAGGGGGGTTCATAGTGAAGGCGAATGTACGCCGCTTGGTGCAACAAAGCCTGGCATAGGATATCACAACGCCTAGTTTGAGAATGGAGGTGGAGGCAGTCACTGCTGCCTTCCGCTGGCTTGAGAATCAGCTGCACACACATGCCGTCAGTGTAACTGACTCACAGAGCATACTGAGAAAGGTGGAGACAGACATGCTTCCCGCAGCGGCAAGCACCACTTTATTGGTCTCGGGTAGTTAGCATCCACTGGATATTTTCTCCAAGTCTTTACGGTGTTGGGAAATAAGCAGGCAGAGAGACTGGCCGGTTCTGCACCACTTGATGGTGAACTGATGTATGATAAACTGGATTCTATGAGGGCCCTTTGAGAGCGAGTGAACAGTGCCGAGGCACAGATAGATCATTATCGTCATTACGGTCTGAGGAGAATGACACTGGGAGGAGTTACAAGGGGATCCTACAGACGCTCGACACTCAGGGAAAAGGTGAGACGGATATACAATCAGACAGTTGCTGGTATCATCGGAATTTTAACTGCCCGCTTGCAGCTGAAGATAGGGACAGAGCGCTTATGAGGGTGTCCCGAGTACTGTTATGTCGATTCTTAATTCAACATTCAACAACAATGCATGCTCTCAAAAATTTAATTTGGATTTCCTTGCTCACAATGACATTGGGTGCACTAGGTTAGTTGCGTATCCTTTACAGGACGTTGCAGAACCGACCCCAGCAGCTCCTGGCTGTTGAGTGGTTTCTCTAGGCAAATTTAGGTCCAGTAGTTTGCCATTGTTTTCTGGACTGATACCACTGTCGAAACCAACGCAAGGCGCATGGCCCGCAGCTGGGATCGAACCCGGCACCCCGGCATTACGAAGCGTTCGCATCGACTTAGCCACAGAACCGACGCACTAATTAGACGAAAACTAAATATGCCGTTGCGACATGGAAAAACACCAGCTCGGTACTATAATTCAGAATAACGTATCTCTCACTGGGCCCAACACTGAAGTTTATGTTCATTTACATTAGAATGGTCATTTTTATAATTTATTTTCAGTAACGCGTATATTGTATTATTGTGATAAAACGCATTCATTCACCCCACCCCAGAACCAGCCAGACAAACTTTCCTTATCGGCTTTGAGACGAAGAAGGTGTGTGTATCACGCAGTGAATCCATTGGTGGACTGGGGAAGAGCGACCTTTAATTTTTAGACTTTTATCTCTGCACTGTATTTATCTAGCGGAGTTTACCTTTTTTTGGTTCGTAGTCCAAATTCTTTGACATTCTACCTGAGACTGATTCGAGAGAAACATGCCGTCTTTAATTCGTTGTCTGCAGCAGGTAATTTTTTTTTACGTCTGTTTTTGTAACTGAAAACTCACATACTCCACTCCACGTTTCTGGTATAAGTATAATAATTAATAAATAATTATAATTGTAATAAGTAATTGATGTATTTATATGAATGTCAGTCAAACTTAGGTTACTTATACTGTTGATTTGAGTCGAATTTTCTACAAATTATTTAATTTTACATTTTAATTTTAAAATATTGCAACTAGGTCTATAGTGTTCACCAGTTGACTAAGTTTTCAAGTCATTAGTTGATCCTAGTTATATAGTATATAATATACTGTTATAATAACTAACTAATGCTGAGCTGTAAACTGTAATTGATAATCCATTATAACTCCTTACATCACACGATCAGTGTTGTCTAATACACCACGAAGAGCAGAATTTACATCACCATAATGACTCCTTACATCAAACCTGCACAAAGTAAGATATGAGAATAAACACTGTGAATTACTGAGGTAATGCATATAGGCAGGAAACATAATATCATGAACAGTCATGTTAACAGTAATCAGTTATGTAAGAACGAGAAAGCAGATATCTAGGAAGCATATTTACGGAGACTCCTTAGAGAGATAGAAGCCAGAGTACAGAAGCAAATGCGATCACCTACCAGTTAGCCCCACTCCTTTCCAGCAAAACAGCAAATGATTAAAAGCAACTTTTTTCATACTTTAGGCTGTCAGGCCAAACATGGACAATAAATAAGGCACTAGAACAGAAAATAACTACATGTGAAATGCATTGTCTTTGCAAGGTCACTAATAACACAAGAAGAGACCAGGTTACGAATACCTGCATTATAGAGAAACTTGGAATAAGATCATGTCCGGACTATATTGACAAACAAAGAAGCGAATGGTTCAGCTATCTAATGAGAATGCAGCTAGACCAAACTGCTTTTTACAGCAGAACATCTGGGAGAAAGATCAAGAAAGAGATGGAAAAATGGGTAGCTGAAACCTGCAAAAAGATGAACAAATCTATAACTCAAGTCACCCAAAAGTGCAAGACAAATACAGAAAACCACGAAACGGGCTACAACATGGTATCAGTGAGGTGACAAAAAAAAAAGAAGAAAGAATCACATTAGATAAGCCACAGTACTTTGCAATCACCTAGGTAGAAGTTAATCATCAAATAAATTTATTTCATAGATAATTTGTGCAAAGCAAAGCACAAGAGCACCTGCCAGTCTATCAGCTCTTTCATTACCAACAATGCCTGCATACCCTGCGACAAATATGATGGTAACTGCACACACAGGAGAATTTTGCAATGACTCAAACCACTGTCTGTGTAACCAGCCTGCCTTGACCCGCCGGATCATGCTCAAAGAATCACTCAGCACACACACACGGGAATAGTCCTGTGATTCTAGCCACATGAAAACTTGTGTCACCGCCATCACCTCCATTGTCATGCTGCTGGTAGTCATGGAGAAAGCACAGCTGGCTTCTTGAACTCTTTTGCCCAAAGAGCGAGCTATGAATGCCCATGCACTCTTATGTCCTCTGTGAAAATCACTACATCTGTAGCATCTGACTTGTCACTGATAAGTGCGCATTCCTCGGCATTGACAGCAGCTGGATTCTGCTCCCGATAACTCCTATCGAGCATCACAACACAAGAGAATAGGAGATTGGGTGTTTTATGCCACCTGGATGGATATCTGTAAGGCTGCAGACCTGCATGATGTCATCCTCTGCCCTACCCAGCCATGATTTGCCTATTTTAAGTCTTTTGCCCTTTTTCTTGAAGAAAAAAATCAGTCCCGATGTGGGCTAGCGTATGTTTGTATGAGACTGGCTTAGAAACTTTTCTTCTGATCTCTACTGAAGTACCATCTCCACAGGTTTTGTTGCAGAGCTTTTCTTCCATTCTCCCAGAGTAGGATCCAGCCTGCTGTGTGACTGAAATTTGAACTTCCTGTTTGGTCAGTAGATGCTGGTAACATCAACTAGACTTAGAGCCTACTTTGTCAATTAGAGGCACTCCAAGGACTTGACCAATGATAGTCCTTGTCTGGCAACCTCTGGAACTGTAAGAGAGCCACATTGAAGACATTTTACTAGGACAATTTTACTTTCTTTTAGTGCTGTGTCTTAAAGTGTTTAACAACCTAAGTTATTTGCATCTGATACCCAGGAAAAAACCCATGTATATTGTGTATGTAGTATTTAATAGACAGGCTTCTCGCTATAAATCATTTATACTTTCAGATTCAGAGATTTCACAGAGGATGCAGGGCTTATTCACAAAGTTCTGGTTTGAATGTAAGCACTTACTGGCAGGTTTTGATCTTTCCTCATACAGTCAAGTAACCCTGTCAAAACATAGTTAAAATAAATTAAAGATATAATGCTAAACCCATGTTGTCAGTATATAAATGATGTAAAAGGAGAATTATTATTTGTATTGTGCTCATTGCCCTTACTTTCACAGATTTCTGGTATCAATTTTGCAAGACTGAGTTGTCCCAGAAACTGCTGTACCTGGTTAAGAGAAATGGCATCCTACACTACCAGGGAACAAACTCATAACTACTGAGGATCTTCGAGTGTACTAGCCACTACATAACCATATCATATTTTAACTAGAGTTAACTACATGGTTTCTTCTGATTTTATATGGGGAATAGGCAGGCTTACCGTTTTTTAGTCATGGCAACTCATTTACTGTTGCCTGTGGTTGACCATTTACCTCTATATAGTTTCCTCACCTGACTCCTGAGTTAAGTGCATAGTGTGGCACTGTGAGCTGTGGGTTTCATTTGGAGTGTAGTTTGTCTGTGCCTAGTATGGTTTATGTTGTAAATTGCATATTCAGAAAATGATGTTGCCACATAACTAGTGGTGCCTTTGCAATTAATTGCAAGTGCAACTGCTGCTTACACTGACAATGAACTGCATTTATATGCCAGACTGTTTGCATTGGCACTTCTGGTAGATTCTTTATGCATTTAAAGCATGTGTAATGCTTGTGGCTTTCTAAGGGATAGGGATGAGCATTTTATGTGGACTTCAGTGGCATAGGAATGTAGCAGCTATGAGGTGACCCATGTGCTGTGGAGTGGTAAACTGTGATTATCTGATTCTTAATTACACTTAAAATGTCTTTGTAGAACTGGTCTTTTCCCAGAAATTGTAAATGTTGAGGCTAAGAAAAATAAAAGAGACAGTTGACTTGATTGCACTAGGTTTTACCCTATGTGGCTTGACCTCTTTATGCAGTGCCACTTGCCTGCTTTTGACCAAGAATGTCACACAAAGCACAACTTTGTAGCTCCAGCATTGATCACAGGGATGTCCCAACAAATTGTACTTGTGAATCAAATAATGCAATAAGGAAAAGAACCCATGATATTTAAAACCTGAAGTAACAGCATGACCACTTTACAGAGATTAGTATAAGAAAAATGCCTTTTATCGGCAAGATGTCATAGTAATTGCCTGTTAGGGTTCTTTCCTCTTGATTGGTCTCGACACCCTTGTAGAATCACTCAACTGTGCATGCAGCCATTTGAGTATATGCTCTGCCCCTCTATTTCCAAGTTGTCTCTCTGACCAATGTAAGTCAACTGGCACTAACATGTAAATCGATAAATAAAATTGGAATTGGTATAGGAAAGACTAGCTTTTTAATAGGCGGGGTTGGGATGGAATTGGTCTTGTACCTCACTACTGGAACAGTGGCAAAGAATGTTTGGCCAACAGCTGTTGTTAGTTGGTCCTAAAGATGCTGCATGACCTCATCTCTATCTTTAGAGGGGGCTGAGTGGTCTCGAGGCATGGAGTCCGCCTCAAGTGCTAGAGGTTCCAGGTTCAATTCCCGGTAAGAGCATGGGATTTTTTACGTAGACTTGGACTTCAAGTAATTTTCCCCGTGTTGCACACATAAAAATCTCTTGGCAGTTGGAAATGAAAAGAGTAACCTAACGGCGCTACGCGGGCAAAATTTTAAGTTTAAAATCTACCTAAAGTATTTCAGGATCCTCGCCGGTGCTACAGAGCCTGTGCACTGTGCTGAGCTTCTTCAGACTTGAGTTAGAAGAAGAACGGAGCACTTATAGGTTACTACCCGTGTGCTATGATGTTGATCTGTTGTTTAAACCTCAAACGTAGGATGTAATTTATTTGATTCTGGACATGTAAAATTGACAAGAACAGTGCTTTCCTTGTGAATTACCACACACCAAACAGGCAAATGTTGGGACTGACCAAAGCTTTAACTATAAAAATCAACAAGTAAGCAGAAAGTATTTCATAATACATTTGAGATTACTCTGGTAAGCCATGTGACTACCATAAACTGGAAACTAGACAAACTTGATGTACTGAGAGACACTATTCACATTTCAGTGGCAATTATTTAGTTGTTTGTGCTTCATATTATGTTGATGTAACTCTGTAGTAAATGCACCTGACGAGATACAGCAAAATATATCTGGCAATAAACTGTAATGTATTGTTTGTATCCACAATATTTAAATTCATTTATCTAATCTCAGATTATTAGCAAGACAAAATTTGTTTATTTCTGCCCACAATTAAAGGTGACGTATCTTAGCCTTACTTGTAACAGGATAAATGTTAAAAGTAAATATGGTCAGTCTTTTTCTTCCATTCTATTCTTTTCACACAGGAAGTTGTAATTGCCAGTGCTGTACGCACACCAATTGGATCATTCCTTGGTTCTCTGTCATCTCTACCTGCTTCAAAGTTAGGGGCAGAAGTCATCAGAGCTGCTGTTGTTAATGCAGGTACAGTATCTTGTAACTGTGCTATAAGATAATTCAAACAGTGATGCCGTGTGGTGGACTCTCAGGCAGGAGCAGTGCCGGGCCCTCTACCTTGAAGAGGCCTAACCCAAATTATTGGAGGTCCTTCTCCAATGTCCTGTCGAGCCAGGGGACATGAGAATAGAGCATCTGGCTGAGCACTGGAATGCAGAGAGTATTACAAATAAAAAGCTAGAGTTAGAAAATATTCTAAATGAGGAACAGATACATACATGCTGTCTACAAGAAACTCACCTCACTGAAGACACAGTCTTCAAAATCAGAGGTTATCAGTGCTTCCGATCAGAAAGGCAGAAAAAATGGTGGGATACTGACTCTAGTAAGGAACAATATCATTGTGTGCCAGACTGAAGTATTTATGAATGGAGCAGAATATCAGATTCTGAAACTACAAACTGGAAATGCAGACTTCTACCTGATCAATTTTTACTGCCCAAGTGATCATCCCCAGGCATGAGACACAATCCCAACAGAAGAAAAAATGGTTATATATGGAGACTTTAACAGCCGCTCACAAAGCTGGGGGTACAATCACATAGACCGGAGAGGAGAGAAACTGGAGGAGTGGCAGGATGAGAACAGACTTGTTCTGATTAACAGGTTAACTGATCCACCCACCTTCTACTCGAGGTCTTGGCACACCACTACCCCCCCAGACCTAGCATTCCACTCTCCAGATCTGGAAGGGAACATTACATGAGTTGTTGCACCAAATACGAATAGGAGGCAGTGATCGACCAGTCTTCCTGAACGTAGAAAATGAGAAGGTCAGAAAAAACTTGTACTCTGCCAAGGTGGAACTACAAGAAGGCTGACTGGACAATGTTCAAGCACCATACCAGTATACTGCTTGGAAATCTTAGCTTAGATCAGCATATAAACAAAGTAAATAAAGAATTTAACTAAATCATACTGCAGGCAGCAGGAGAATCAATACCAAGAGGTGCCCATAAGCATTATAAGCCATACTGGAATAGTGAGCTAGAAAATTTAAATAACAAAATGGAAACATTCAGAAAGAAAGCAGAGACCAGACCAAACAAAGAACATCACAATAACTACCAGCATGCAAAAGCAAAATCTGTAAGGGCAAAGCTGCAGGCTAGAAGGGAAAGCTCACAGGGAAAAAAAAATAAGATCCCGGAACGTTGAAAAAGACACGAGAAAGTTATGGAAGCTTGTAAAACAAATTGATGATGAGGGCACAGGGTGGAACTCAAAGATAATTCTGCAGAAAGATGGAAACATGGTCACAGGAAAAAAGGCAGCCAACCTCTTTGCAGACACTTTTGCTTTAGATAACGACATTGAAATCAGTCCAGAGAAAAAAACAAGAGATTCAAGAAAATATACAATTCAGAAGTCATAAAGAAATAACATCAGAGGCGCTAATTACACTTAGTGAACTGGAGTTGGTTATTTCAAAGCTAAAAATGTGGAAGTCACCAGGAGCAGAAAAAAACAAAATGATCAAAAACCTAGGAACAATAGCCAAAACAAAGCTTTTACAGATATTTAATGCTTACTGGGCAAAAGAAAATGTTCCTTTGATCTGGAGAGAGGCAATTTTATACCCCTCAATAAACCTGGGAAAGACAGTTCCAATGCCTCCAACTACAGACTGATCAGCCTCACTAGCTGTCTCTTCAAAACAGTGGAGTGCATCACCAACCCCAGGCTACAGTGGTACATTGAAAGTGAAAACATTATTACACCACAACAGGTAGGCTTTAGAAAGTTTTACTCTTCGGCAGACCTGACAACATACCTCTCCCAAGAAAAAGAGGATGCTTTTCAAGATAAGAAACTGGTACTCGCGGCATGGATAGATTTAAGGAAAACTTTTGACAAGGTTTGGAAGGAGGAGCTTTTGAAGAAATTGAGAAACTATAAAGTGAATGGAATAATGTACAATTGGATTAAAGTATATCTACATAAATAACAGAAAAGCCCGGGTACAGGTAGATGGTTTGAAAAGTAAAAAAAGTTCTGCTGCTACAGTTCGTCCTTCAAGATGGTGTCCTGTCGCCCACACTTTTCCTCTTATTCATCAACGACCTGGTTGCTGAGATACCAAATGGAATCAGAATTACAATGTATGCCGATGACCTGGTACGGGGGTGTACCAATGAACATGCAACGGTAGCCTCAAGAATGCTACAGCAGGCTACAGATGCACTTGGGGCATGGGCAAATAGATGGTGTGTCAGCATTAACACAGACAAATGTAGCACCACACTCTCCACCCTCTCCCGAAATCAAAAAGCGGGCATCATAAAATAAACAGAATACCTCTAAGAGATGATAAAGAGCCCACTTACCTCGGAGTCACATTTGATGACATGTTGACATGGAAAAAATATATCAACCAGGCAGCAACTAAAGCCAGGAGAAAGACAACCATACTGAGAAAACTAAGCGGAACCACATGGGAAGCCAGTGGGAAAATACTCAATAAAGTAAACAAGCAGAGCATACAACCACACTTGTAATATGGGTCAACTGCATGGTTTTCGTCACCCAGTACCACATTAAAGGAGTTGGACAAAGTGCAGAATCAAGCCCTTAGAGTCATCACAGGAGGGATGAAATCAACCCCCATATTAGAAATGGAGAAAGCTGGGAAAACACAGGCACTGAGAGAATGCAGAAATACAAAGTTGCAAATACAAGCTGAAAAGTTCCTCAGTATTCCAGATCACCCCATGAAAAATAGATTTCAGAACCTAGCTTTGGGACAATTAAAAAGAAGCAGCTTTGTAGACCAAGCAAAAAGAATATGTAGACAAACTACTGACCTTCCAGAAATTGGTTGTCCACCTAAAAGAATTCCAGAACAAACCCTATGGAGAGAAAAAATGCAAACTTATAGTACAAATCCAGACAAATGTGAAAGGAGTGTTTGACAAGAAAGAACAAGATAGTATACAACGCAAAATAGAAACCCTCAGTTATATTGATGAAGAATACCTACAAGAACAATTAGTCCGAGTCTATACAGAGGGGTCTGCACAATGTGCAGTTAGAAATGGTGGTGCTGTAGTGTACATAGAATTCCCAAATTGTACTAGGGATAAGTCCAGTGTGCAAGCTGGGAAGTACTGCCACAACTATGATGCAGAAACCCAGGCTAACAGGATAGCAACAGAGAAACTGCTAAATACCAATCTTGGCTCACAGTATGTGGTAATGCTTACAGATGCAAAATCCGTACTTGAAGCACTCTAGTCTAGGAAACTACCAAAATTGCAAACACTTCTGACACAGCTCAGCTGTCAGCGAAGAGTGGTAATGCAGTGGATAACATCCTACTATGGAGTGCCTGGAAATGAGAAAGCTGATCAACTGGCACGGGAAGGTGCGTCAAAAATACAGCCAAATGTACCAGTCACATACCACCAAAAGAAAAGAATCATTAAATCGATCAGGAAACCACCAGCCCCAGCACAAGACAACTATTTTATAATGGACAGATCAGAACACATCATTATCCTATGCCTCAGAATAGGACACAACCGATTGCGTAATTACATGTACACAAAAATTCAGGATAAGCACCTCTGGAAAGGACAGCAGAGCATGTACTCCAGGACTGCACCAAATTTGACACATTAGGGTAAACCTTTTGGCCAGAAAGAACAACAGTGGAACGTAAACTTTATGGACCACTGAATAAACTAACAGACAAAATTGCTAATATAGACAATTTATTTCAGGCAAACGGAAGAAGAGAAGATTCAGACAGTGATAATGGATTTTGTGTGTGTGCAAAAACTTTAAAAAAGAATATTGTACTGGCTATACTATTATAATACATTGCTTTAAATATGTAAAACAAGAAAATAAAAATACAGTCATGCCTTGCTTCCCCACTCAGCCATAATTCTTCTTACAAGTGGTTTTATAGTCTGTGCCATATAGTGTTGGTGGTCATGTCTATCTTCAACCTTCCGTCTCATGTACTTTGAATCAGTTCTGACACAGGTGATCTTCTACGACAAGAAATTTTAACACTTAAAAAAAATGAAATATTAATTGAGGTAACAGATCAATTTACTTATTTTAACAGTCTCGGAGACACAAAGAAAGAAATTATGACCGGCAGGGCATCAGCAGCTTTTAGAATCCTCAACAAAATATGGAACTCTAAAATGTATATTTTAAAACCAAGTTACATATTTTCATATTTTTTTTTTAGTTTAAATATGCGCCAGCGAACGTTGTAGAACCACTTGAGGCATGGAACAAAAGTTAAATGCATTTGAAATCAAATGTCTAAGAAAAATGTTGAACATAAAATGTGAATAATTCAAGAGGGATGAAGAAATAAGAGAAATATCTGGACAATCACTGGTAACAACAGCTGCAAGACAAAGAAGACGGTGCTATGTTTAACACATCCTGAGAGAAATGAGCTGGGAATCACCAAACAGGCACTAAAATAGGAAATAAATGGATTGAGGAAGTAAGGATATCCAAAAGAAACCCTTAAACGAACGTTAATGAGAGAAGCTAACGGTGCTGGATTCCATCCATGATATTGAAAATGTGGCACAGGATAGATAGGACACACTGGAGGCATAGACTGTAAGCTCTATTTTTCATATAATAGCAAAACATGACGTAGATGATGATGTTGATGATCGTAAGGTTGGAATAGGAGCAGTCTTATATTTAACTGTTTGTTTCTAACCATCTATCTGACTAGCTGCAGTAGAAGTTGTCAGGCAGTGAGTTGTGCAGAATATTAATTATGTCAATATTTAAATTCCCAATGAGAAACATTGTTTTGAATAATTGATTTGGCGATAGAAAGCTCAAAATAGTTAATTCATATGTTTTGTAAAGGAATTCAATCGGAAGCAGTCAATGAAGTGTACATGGGAAATGTCCTTCAGGGAGGTCAGGGACAAGCACCAAGCAGACAGGCTACACTGGGAGCAGGTAAATATGAAGTTATAAGTTTTATTTGATTTGCAGAAGATATCTTTCAACCCAAAAGCTGCAGAATCAGCACTTCCAGAAGGGTCCAGGTCACTATTCCGAATTGGCTGTAATGCTTGTTTATGGGGCGTATAACTGATAGTGTTGTTATCATTTATGCCTACCCAAATGTTTAGGGGACCAAAATTGATTATATTTACTAAAAAATAGCATTGTAGGGTCACCTGACCTAGAGGCCTTGTGAACATATGGCTTATTTAAATAGAAATTATGCAATCACAATTTCCTATTAACACTAGTGGCTGGTATATCAAGTATAAGTTACAGAATTCATTTGTTTAATGGTAGTTTAAAGTCAGGTAATTCTCTGCTATGTTCACATTTACTGAACTATTCTTATTCTGCACGGAATTTAATATTCTTTTATTCCATATAATTAATACAATAAAACAACGTAATTTTTATTATTTTTCCTGTGATCTGTTTAAAAAGGTGGGTTTTTTTTAAAGGATTTTTTTTACTGGGGAAAGGGGGGGGGGTGATTCTTTTAATGTGGATCACTGACATTGTTTTTTTCTAGGCTGCCATGGCGAAAGGGTTAATATATTATTCTCATATGGGTATGAACGGACTGTCTAATTATAAAATAAAGAAACACTTTTGATGAAAACATAATCTGAACAAAGAAGACACAAACAATAGACTGCTTCCGCTTATGGCAGATTGAAACCGGAACTAAGTAGGCAAAAAGAAATGGTCGTTGCCCTATGCTTACCTTGGTGAAACAGTTTGAAATGTACTCGAATTTGTGTTTCAGTTTCTAGGCTATTTGCTTCATTTTAATTAATTGTTACTGTAGTATGCACCTGACGAGATACAGCGAAATATACCATGCAATAAATTGTTCAGTCTATTGTTTGTGTCTTCTTTATTCAAATTCACATCGGGGAAACATTGCTTTGAAAACATAATCCTTTATTTCAGAATATCAGCACTTTGCCTAGAGGCATCTTTAAGATTGATATGGCATTTCTTGAACTTGAATCTTACGAATCAGCACCAGTGATTTCATAAATTAAATGTAATTTTTGTATGCAGGCTTACCAGTCACAACTCCAACAACTACTATCAACAAAGTTTGTGCTTCAGGCATGAAGGCAATCATGCTGGCTTCACAGAATTTAATGTGTGGTCATCAGGTAGGCATAATTTATTCTTTTGTCTTTCACTGATAGCAAAACATGTATTATACTTTTTATCTTTCCATGTCCTTTCTAGGAGCCGCCATGGTCTAGCGGCTAGATGCTTGCCTGCAGTTCGGAAGGTTGTGGGTTTGGGTCCTGATGGAGAAAGGACTTTAAAAAAAATTTCCTTAGCTTCCAGGTCAACCCAGCCTTGAGTGGGTACCAGGTACTTTCCTGGGAAGTAAAGGCAGCCGGTGTGATGCTGACCACATCACCCACCAAGTGCCGTTTGCTTTATGAAATATAGGTCTAGCCCTATATACCCAGTAGGCCTGAAGGCGGGGAAAAGGGTCCTTTAAGTGACCTTTTAGGTCTTTTCTGCTTGTTGACAAATTTGGTGAGTGAATCAAAAATTGACATGACTGCACTTAGGACATTCCCATACATGCTCCATCTCCTTCATCAGTAGCCATACTGAAAGTGCTAGTTGCAACCTGATTACAAGTTTGCCTGTTTTATCCCCCTGCAACTAGAAAATTGTCCAGACCATTGAACGAAAGTCTGCCTGTTTTTCCCCCTGCAACTATAAAATTGTCTAGCAACTCGAAAATTGTCCAGACCATTGAACAAAAGTTAGCCTGGTTTGTCCCCCTGCATCTAGAAAATTGTCCAGACCATTGAACGAAAGTCTGCCTGTTTTTCCCCCTGCAACTATAAAATTGTCCAGCAACTAGAAAATTGTCCAGACCATTGAACGAAAGTCTGCCTGTTTTTCCCCCTGCTGCTATAAAATTGTTCAGCAACTAGAAAATTGTCCAGACCATTGAACAAAAGTCTGCCTGTTTTTCCCCCTGCAACTATAAAATTGTCCAGCAGCTAGAAAATTGTCCAGACCATTGAACGAAAGTTTGCCTGGTTTATCCCCCTGCAACTAGAAAATTGTCCAGACCATTGAACGAAAGTTTGCCTGGTTTATCCCCCTGCAACTAGAAAATTGTCCAGACCATTGATTTTTCAGCATGCTTATTCCCACACACACCTGAATGTCCTGGGCAGAAAACCCAAAACTATACTTCCTTTATCAAATGATGCATCCACTCTGAGCACAAGACACAAGCTTCACTGACAATGTAAGAATCACAACATAGTGCCTTTTTAGTATTATATTTTGTTGTTATGTGCTATTGTTGTCCTTTCCCTCTCACGCGGCTAATCACATGAACATATGCCAATACATGCAATGCAATTACAGGAACATTCCAACCCCCCACCCCCCATCCCACAATCATTTTCTCCTCTTTTGTGGTGTAGTAGGTGGAAGTAGTAGTCAAGTATATGAATAAATTACTGATAGCATGCTCTGAGAATAATTGTACAGCAGAATATCTTCTTCTTCCTCTTTTCATTCGCCCAAGCCATGTAATTGTGTTGTGCATATCTACAGCCAAGCTGCAATAGTTGCGGCTTTTGGCTGACATGTCCAACTTCATCGAGCATTTGTTGAGCAGGTGAACTTCCTGGATAGTTTCATGGAACAGGGACATGACCTTATTTGTGTGGTGTTCTCTTTGTTCCCTAATCTACTGGTGTTACCCCTGGAGAGCCCATCCAGGGCAAACACGTGTAGACTGGTCGGCCCTCAAGGGAAGGCAGGGGCAGATTATGGGCACTCTCCACCATCTAAAGAGTCTTCCATAAATACAGAGCCGATACATGCGCGTTGGTCCTGGGCTCACCCAAGGAACTGTCATGTCCCATGCTTAACCTCACATCCATATGTTGGGCTTCCCACTAGTCATGGCTGCGCCCTCTGGAGATCAGCAGGGAGCAGCCTGCAGGTTCGAGACATCGATGACCACACAAACAGATACATTCTTCCTCTGCACGTTAGACACCTTTAACCCTCTGGAGATGGAGCTTTTTTGGAGTTTCAGTGCCAAAAAGACGAAACCTTCAGAAAGGGATTCTCATAGTTTATACACACACACACACACACACAAAATAAAGCGTTGAATTAACATATACAAAACTATATATATTTGTGTAGGAAATTGAATGAGCTACCAGAATATTTATGAATCAAACTGAAATCTCAACATTTTTCAAATTTTGATTTGACTCATTTATGCAGGTATTTTTTGGGGGAACAAACATGACTAACCTAAAATAGATTGGGTGAATTTTTTTTTATGGATGAAGATCGAATAAGTCTTAAAAGCTGTATTTTGGGAAGTAAGGCTCTTAGAAGCCCTTCAGACACTTCTGGCACATTGTTCTACTCATTTTCCTGCCTCCAGCTATGTTTCTGTTGATATGACACAACAGTCCTTTTTGCCATTGTTGGGCACAGAAAAAATTAATGTAAAATTACCAAACACATCAAACTTTCCCAAAAGCCATCAGTGAACAGCCCACATGTGTAAGAAATATGAGAAGCAATCTGATTGGCCGGTACAAAAACCTACCAGCCAATCTGAAGGCTTGTATTACATAGGGCCGACCGATCAGCCCAGTCGTCCTTTTGGCTACTTTGTGTCAGGCTGATATTTCGGCTGTGTCATCTCCAAAGGGTTAATGTTGTTTCAACTGGACTCTTGTCATGACAGTGTTGAAAGAGCATGTATCAGGCATGATTTCCCCTATTGTGTCCTGACACTTTGGCTAGTGGGGCCTTTGGTAGAGAACATTTGAACCTTTCTGCAAATTAGTTGAACTTTTTGTAGTGGGACATTTGAGACGAGACGCTGTTTTGCCATATGACATGTTTCTAGCGGACATTTGAGACTTATCAGCTGGCTTACAGTAGCAGATTATCGTTTACTTCATTGAGGTAGCAACAACGTTGGTGATCGACAACGATGTGTGGAGATAGGACTGTACCACAAGATACCACCCACAGGAGATGTTGCCCATCTAAGCTGAGAGTAAATCTCTTGGTCTAGGGCTGAGTCTCAGCAGCTTAGTGGTTCTTTCACTCGACAGACGTTTTAACCCGAGAGTTATCATTTTTTTTGTTCCAAATGAAGTTTTGATATACGTTTTGATATATGTTATATTTTATTCACAGATTTTTAATTCCTTTTTTTCTCTCATTCTTTTGACACCTAACTGCAGATTGCTATTTTCCTGCAATGATATTTAGGATTAAAGTTAACTTTGATTAGATTCATTTGCTCTTTTATTGATTTAAAATTATTTGAACCAGAGAGTTAAACTAGATCAACTGTTATACTGATATTGGTAACACTTTCATACTTATTAATGACAGGAAGTGATGGTTGCAGGAGGAATGGAAAGTATGTCAAACGTCCCTTACTATCTCAGGAGAGGAACAACACCTTATGGAGGGATCAAAGTTGATGTATGTATCTTGAATTTCTGTTGAAAAGATATTTACATTACATATTAATATTTTGAATATTGAATTAAGAATTGACATCACAGCACTTGACACTTCCACAAGCGCTCCACTCCCGTCTTCAGCAGCAAGCGAAGAGTTCCAAATCTGACGGCACCAGTAACTATCAAATTGTATATCCGTCTCGCCCTTCCCCTAAGTGTTGAGCGTCTACTAGATCCTCGCAGCGCCATTCTCCTCAGTCTGTAATTATCTATCTGTACCTCCTCACTGTTCACTCGCTCCCAGAGGGCCCTTACAATATCTAAGTTTCTTCTTCTTCACTTCCTCTTTTACCGCTGTGGGTGTCGAGGGAGATATTAGGTTCTGTTTCTAGCTCTTCTGGCTGTCGAAAATAACACACGTGCTGTTGTAGATTGTTCTAAGTTTTACAAGAATAAAAACACACTCACTTCCTAATGTCACTCCTAGATGTCTGACTGAGGGGCACTGACTGGGCACGAGCTTTCAGCTCAGCATCCAGCCACGCTCAAGTCTCGCAATATCCGTGCAAACCCTGTTAGCTGTGAAACTCCAGAAACACCTTTTTCCCAACTTCGTGCACAGCGTGGACTTTTTGCACTCGCCTCTGCCATCATCATCATCATCATCCATCAACGCCATGACCGGCTTAGGCAATCACGCCTCTGATGCCTGGTACAGTTGAACAACAAAGTGAGTTTAACACACAACAGATATTCAAAACCAGCACAGAGCCAACTGGCACGTGAGGTTAGGCACAGGGTATCTCCTTATATATACACAGAACAATGGCCTTAACTTTCCCCCATGTCTGTGACCAGTGTCACTGTTTGTTGGACCTGCTATATGATAAATACTCTTTAAAAACAGGCCACATATTTAAAAAAAAAAATCCATGAAAAACTCTTCAAAATTTAGTAGGTATTGCTAAGCCCCTAATCTGATAAGAATGTACTTTAAAAAAAAAATGGCCTTATCATTTCTTCTTCTTCTTCGTCGCATTCACCGGCTGTGAACTCCGGCGGAAAGTCCTGGTTGTTCGTCCACTTCTGGACTGCAGTCCTGTTCCAGAACATGAGTGTTGCGTGTGCATCCGTTTGACAGATCTGTATGCAGACTGTTTGTTCCTTGCCTCTCAGACAGATGCACTTTGAAGGAAGCTCCCAATTAGTCGACTCTTACGACATGCTATTGGGTAGGCAGTGGGTCTATTCTTGTTTTTCCCATAGTAGGGCCCCTGGAACCCACACGGGGAAACAATAAAATGTTCTGAAGCACTGTCTTGCCTTATTTAGTACTTTAGATAAAGAGAAGGCAATTGTGGGAAGATAAGTCTTGCTTATTCATTATTATATGAGACTGCTACTTTGTTTTTATACCAAACACACAAAAATGGACACACAAAATGGACTAATATTAACATCAGGGAATATGTTCTATAAATGACTTTGGCTCCTAGATCTAGCCAGCTTAACCCTGTTACCATGAAACGTCGCAAAACTGACCTTTCCATTTGGGTCCAGCTAGTCCCAGGAGAGAATCACTTTACTGATGGCTATAGAGGCCTGTTCAGGAGATGCTTAGCTAATAGCACTGTTGTCGCTTGAACCTGCACACACACACGCAGAATTAGGGAATTTTAAATTGTTTTTGTATTAAATGGAATTGTTATGATTTGTTTGTGTACGCTTTTTCCCCAGGAAACCCATAATTACTGGTTATTGGCTTTATGTTTTTCTAGGTTGCGAAGGTGAAAGAGTTAAAATGTATATTAGAAAATATTATGGGAAATAAAGGTGACTGATATGATGCTGACCACGTTACCAATTGAGTGCCGGTTGGGCTATACAAATATGAGTCTAACTTCATATGCAAAATACACCACAGATGCACCACTGGTGTGAAAAGGATCTTTTACTCTTTTGTCTTCATATCAAGTTAAAAAGTCAGTAAAGAATTGTTTGGCTCAGTGTTACTCTTGGATTGAGAGTGGTTAGAAATTTCATATACGAGAAGCAAATATAAGCACTATGTTATCTATCTCTGTTTGATAAAATTTGGAATAAATTGTTAAGTGTAATATTAGAAAAATTATCTGCTTATGTGGCATTGCCATGGACCACAGTCCATGTCTTTGTCGGTGTGCATGAATATAATGTAAAATAACTATTTCCCCGTGTGGGTTCTGGGGCCCTGTTGTAGGGAAAACAAGAATAGATCCACTGCCTACCCAAAAGCATGTTGTAAGAGTCAACTAGTTGGGAGCTTCCTGAAAAGTCAAAGTGCATCTGCCTGAGAGGCAAAGAACCAAGTCTGCATACAAATTAGTCAGATCTGTCAAACGGATGCACATGCAACACTTGAGTTCTGGAACAGTACTGCAGTCCTCAAGTGTTTGAACAACCAGAACTTTCCGCCAGAGGTGAACCCGAAGAAGAAGAAGAAATAACAATTGTAGCAGTAAGGCAGACCAGAGTTACAAAACATACACTGGACAATCACCGTATTGTAAACAAACCAGCGATGGGAGGCTGATGAACATAACTTGACAGGACATGACAAAAATGGACTAAGGGAACAAGACCTTGAGAACGCTAGAAAAGACTTAGAGGTTACATGACAGATGGTTTTGTTCGATCGTCGTGGACAGACGGGAGCGATAGTTAGGTGTATCTTAGTATGGAGTGTTATAGCTACATTTTCTCACAGTTTTTCCTAATAGCAGTTACTTTGTAATAGTTGCCAGTGTGTTACTATGTTTGCGCATCTTCTAGATTAATATTCGGTTGTATACCTGGACAGATCGTCATATACATCAAGCACTGTCCTTCAGGGGGCCATCACTACAGGTGAGGCATCACTCCAGAGAGACAGTCGGCATAATACACAGTGCACCCCAGAGCCTTCCAGCGTTATAGCTACAGCAGGAGCAGGAACTGTAAAAATGCCCACAGAGACCTGGATGCTGGGGAAACCGTGGGCCCAGGAAATGAGGACCGTGACTGTAAAGGATCCTCCAGAGCCTTCCAGCGTTGTAGCTACAGCAGGAGCAGGAACTGTAAAAATGCTCACAGAGACCTGGATGCTGGGGAAACCGTGGGCCCAGGGAATGAGGACCGTGACTGTAAAGGATCCTCCAGAGCCTTCCAGCGTTGTAGCTACAGCAGGAGCAGGAACTGTAAAAATGCTCACAGAGACCTGGATGCTGGGGAAACCGTGGGCCCAGGGAATAAGGACTGTGACTGTAAAGGATCCTCCAGAGCCTTCCAGCGTTGTAGCTACAGCAGGAGCAGGAACTGTAAAAATGCTCACAGAGACCTGGATGCTGGGGAAACCGTGGGCCCAGGGAATGAGGACCATGACTGTAAAGGATCCTGGAAATGGTTTGGCTTTGGTCATGAGAGTGAGCCTTCCCAGTTATGCTGTGACACTGGTTATTAAAAAAAAAAAAAACTTGGAGAACTCAGTGAGGCCTGAGTTTGGTTTGTGAAGGAGTTGTTATCCTATCAAGAGGCTCAGTTAGATGAGCCAGATGAATGTAACCTCATGGATAACAGTGATAAAAAGAACCTTGACATGTTTAACCTTCACATTCTTTAGATGATTAAACGTTTATTGTTTATATTTAATTCAGGATGGCATTGTATTTGATGGTCTGACAGATGTGTACAATCATTGTCATATGGTAAGCACCTAACTAAAAAATTTGGGGAGGGGTGGGGGGGGGGGGGGGTCCACATTCTGTCATATTTTAAAACTAATTAACAGTATATTCTATCATTGCCCAGCTAAAGATGGCATACTGAAGAAACTGTCTGTAAGACAGTCTGTAACCATTATAGTCAACAGATAACTCTAAGAAGCAGTAAGTTGTATATGTGTAAAGAACAGTTGGTGATTGGAACGTGGAATGGCAGATTACAGATTGCAGTTTGTCGTTGAAGGAAGTAGTCGGGCACGATAAGTTGGCTACTAAACACACGTAGAATTAATATAAAAGGTATTTCACCAGCTCACACATAAACTGACTACATATTGAATACTACGCTAAAGGCCACTTTTATGATGACCTTGTTATTTCTGCAGGAAGTGTTGTGTCAGACTTATGACTGTTCTTAGATAGTTGCTATCGATTCACTTACTTGAGAATGTTTGCATTTGCGAGTGCATACATTAAATTCATTCATTTTAATCAGATCTTATATTATGTCAGTGTAGCTTATAGTAATGAATATAATTCACCTGCTGTGGAACTTTATTGAATATATTGCTGTTGCTTACTGATTTAAGTTTGTTTAGAAAATGAGATGTTTACTTTCTGCAGCTTTAAGGTAAGATGGTAGCAAGTATTGATGATGTTGAATTATTCATTAGCCATAAGTGCCACAGAATTTATTATTTGTGTGTACGCGCGTGTGCGAGAAAAAGAGAGAGAAACATTCTAAAATATTTGGTTTGTCATTTAGGGAATCTGTGCAGAAAATACAGCTAAAAAGTTTAACATTGGTCGGAAGGAGCAGGATGAGTATGCTGTTAGAAGCTATACACTCAGTCAGAAAGCAGCAGCAGATGGGGTATTTACAGCTGAGATTATTGGTGTTGAAATACCCCAGAAGAAAGGTAGTTGTCTGTACATTTTTTCTAACGCTCATTTGATAAATTAATATTTAACTATATACATTGACATGTAAACTAAGATGTTTCTTTTTTTTAATTTACATATGCTTATAAACAGTTTCTTTACATTTTTAAGCACTGCTGTTAGTTTCAAATTATATTGGAATTTGGTGGACACATAATTTAAAATCTTGCACAAAAATGAATTCTAATGATTGACTAAAGGAAAAAAAAATTTCACTGTACCCATTGTGAAACCCTGAGAATTAAGTTTTTGAGAGAGATCCATTAACACTGTTAGAAGATGAAGATTACAAGAAATGATTTTGATAAAATTACACAGGCTAGAAACCAGCAAGGACAGAAAGATGGTAAGTTTTATTTTTATTGCTCTTATTTTCTTATTTGTCAACACTTAATGAAATTATATTTGTCACAGACTTTATAGTGTGATGCTGGAAGAAAAAGAGTAAAACTTTAGATAACTGATGTTTGAGACAGTATTTAGGATTCATTTATCAAAAGCCAGTTACCATTTGTTTAAAACTTGTCGCAACATGTAGGTCAAACAAAAGTTAGTTCACGTTTCTGAAAGCTGTGAAGTAGCTCTTAGGATTCAAACAAAAGTTAGTTCATTTTGAATGATAGGCACACATTTTGCAATTTAAGTCCTTAATAAGACAAATTTGTAAGTGCATTCCATCATCACAGTTGATCTGTTCACTCTTATATATCATTGTGGGTTAAATTGAAGCAGTGTTGCTTACAGTTTGCAAAATAATTTTTTGGTGAGTTATAAACCTTGTGTCTTAAAATTAATTATATACATAAAATTTACAGTACCCAGAATTCAAACAATCTGTGTTTTCTGCAAAACTTGAGACATATTTAGGATTAACAATCTGTGTTTTCTGATAAACATCTCAGTACGAGAAACAGAATCACGGATCAGGTCAGTGTTATTGTTTCATCCCATCCATATGGCTAAGCTATCCAGAATTTATCTCTTCACCTTCTCCTTTGCTCTCTCTCCATCAATCTTGCCAGTTTTTACAAAGTTCTTGAGTCTGTTCAGCTCAGAACATGTCTGAAAAACACCGACTCTCTGCGTCTAAGTTTTCTAGTCAGATTATGACTTTCATGTCTTGATGACATGCTCAGCCCAATTGTTTTTCTACCGTTCCATGATATTCTTTGCATTCTTCTCCAAAACCACATTTTCACTGCAAACTTATACTGAATCTGTGTTTTCGGAAACAACAGTATTTTGGATTCAAACAATTTTGTGTTCTTGCTGAAACTTGAGACAATTTTATGATGACCTTGTTCTTTTTATGCAGTATGTGTTGTGTCAGACTTATGACTGTTCTTAGATAGTTGTTATGGATTCACTTGCTTGAGAATGTTTGCATTTGCAATGAGTGCACAATTAAATTCATTAATTTTAATAAAATGTAATATTATGTAATATTATGTCAATGTATATATATATAGTAATTAATATAATTCATCTGCTATGGAACTTTATTGAACATATTGCAGTTGCTTACTGATTTAAGTTTGTTTAGAAAGTGAGATGTTTACTTTCTGCAGTTTTAAGGTAAGATGGTAGCAAGTATTGATGATGTTAAATTATTCATTAGCTATAAGAGCCACAGAATCATTATTTGTGTGTGCGCACGCGCGCAAGAAAAAGAGAGAGAGAGAGAGAAACATTCTAAAATATTTGGTTTGTTATTCAGGGAATCTGTGCAGAAAATACAGCTAAAAAGTTTAACATTGGTCGGAAGGAGCAGGATGAGTATGCAGTTAGAAGCTATACACTCAGTCAGAAAGCTGCAGCAGATGGGGTATTTAAAGCTGAGATTATTGGTGTTGAAATACCCCAGAAGAAAGGTAGTTGTCTGTACATTTTTTCTAATGCTCATTTGATAATATTTAACTATATACATACATATGTAAACTGAGATGTTGCTTTTTTTTTTTAAATTACATATGCTTATAAACAGTTTCTTGACATTTTTAAGCACTGCTATTAGTTTCAAATTATATTGGAATTTGGTGGAAAAATAATTTAATTAATCTGTTATTGAAAATGAATTCTAATTATTTCCTTGAAAAAAAAAAAAGATCACTGTATGGATTGTGAAATTATTTCTGTGAATTACATTTTTTGCAGGAGATCCATTAACAGTGTTAGAAGATGAAGAATACAAGAAAGCCAATTTTGATAAATTTAGTAAGCTCAAACCAGCCTTTCAGAAAGATGGTAAGTTTTAGGAAGAAGTGTATTGCTCTTATTTTCTAATTTGTCAATACTTGGTAAATTATATTTGTCTTAGACTTTATAGACACAGTGCTGGAACTAAATGTAAAAATTTAGTTCACTGCTGAAACTTGAGACAGTATTTAGGATTCAAACAAAGGTTTGTTCACTGCTGAAACTTGAGACAGTATTTAGGATTCAAACAATCTGTGTTTTCTGCTGAAACTTGAAACAGTATTTAGAATTCAAACAATCTGTGTTTTCTGCTGAAACTTGAGACAGTATTTAGGATTCAAACAATATCTGTTTTCTGCAGAAACTTGAGACAGTATTTAGGATTCAAACAATCTGTGTTTTCTGCTGAAACTTGAAACAGTATTTAGAATTCAAACAATCTGTGTTTTCTGCAGAAACTTGAAACAGTATTTAGAATTCAAACAATCTGTGTTTTCTGCTGAAACTTGAAACAGTATTTAGGATTCAAACAATCTTGTGTTTTCTCAGGTACTGTGACAGCAGCCAATGCCAGTTCCCTGAATGATGGAGCTGCTGCACTAGTGCTGATGACATCACAGGCTGCAAAAAGGTTGGGTGCTCAGCCATTGGCAAGAATCATAGGTGAGTCTAATGTTATTATATACTTTGGTGTATTCCCGTGGGGTTCCTGGGTGCAGTTTTTGGGGATAAAAGAATAGACTCAATACCTTCACAACAAACATGTTGTTTATAGCGTGAAAACATTGCTTTTAATTTTGTTTTTGTCTATAGTCACTAAATTGTTTTAAGAATGGAACTGTTTGGGAAGAGAAAATGGAGCTGATCATAAACTCATGGTTTTACTTAGGATTTGTGAAGACACCTTTTTTGTAATTGCCTCTACTTTAATGATCAAGAAAGCAGACTGTCCAAAAGAAATGGCAAACTACACAACAGCTAGGTGCTGTTGGGGTTGCTTCTGCAACGTCCTGTAAAAGGATATGCAACTAACCTAGTCTATTTTAATGAAAGCTTTTGTAATGTTGTTTCAATTTACTTTTTAGGTTTTGCAGATGCTGCTACTCATCCTATTGATTTTCCAATAGCACCTGCTTATGCTATACCAAAGGTATGTCTGTACATGCTAATATTTAAAATAAATTGGTCTCTGATTCTGGATTCCAATGTATTACAGTTAATATGTTTAGTTTTCTGAAGACCAAGAAGCTAACAATGTTAAATTTTTAAGCTGAACATTCCATTTATTTATATTAGTGAATTGATTAGTTGCGTAACCTTTACAGGACATTGCAGAACCAACCCCAGCAGCCCCTGGCTGTCGTGTGGTTTCTCTAGGCAAATTTATGTCCAGTAGTTTGCCATTGCTTTCTGGACAGTTGGCCGCCTGATACCACTGTTCAAACCAAGGCAAGGCACATAGCCCGCAGCTGGGATCGAACCTGGCACCCGGGCATTACGAAGCATTCGCATCGACTTAGCCACAGAGCCAACACATTAGTGAATACAAGCTGTAGAAATCTCGTGAAGCTGTAAGTTAATTCATGGCAGAAGGTTTAATGTTTATTATGCTCATGGAATCATCAACAAGCCTGTTAAATCTTCTGAATGGGTTCCTTATGTATATTACAAAACTTTAGGCACCATTTCTTGCAGCACCGCTACTTAAGTCATTATTTCACAACCAATGATAGGCAGGCAGGTATTGGCTACACTAACTCACTCACATGTGGAGATCAACTTCTGCTGGAGGACATCTCCAGTACTTGATTTATTTCTGTGATAAAAATTAATGTTGGATATTTGTTAACAGATCTCAGACATATGTTGTATAATGAGCAATGTTAAATTCGTTTTTGCTATCAGTTATTTTGTTCTTTAATAATTTAATTAATTTTTAGGGTTTGTCTTGCTACCTGAATGTTTTAAAAAAAAAAAAAGCTTTTGTTACTTTTTCAGTTGATAAAATAACAATGCAATGTAACTTAGTCTAGAATATGTTTTACAGCTGTTGGAAAAACATGGTGTCAAGAAGGAAAATGTTGCCCTGTGGGAAATCAACGAAGCATTTAGTGTTGTTGTTTTGGCAAATGTTCAGATGCTCGGCATTGATATAGATAAAGTGAATGTACATGGTGGCGGAGTCAGCATTGGGCACCCAATTGGGTAAGAGTTTGTGATATCATTTTGTTGTAGGCATAATTTAGACTATCGTTCATCATTTATGTAAGTATACTGATTATATGAGTTTGTTAACTGTTTCAGATTATTATTTGTCGTTTATGTTGATATGTGTCCAAATGAAATTTTCCAGCAGTGGCAGGATTATTATTTTCCGACCAGTTCTGCCGAGAGAAATGTGAATCAGACAGTTTCAAGAATTTTCTAGGAAAGTTCAGAGTCAGGAGAATTGACATCATTGCACTGAGTTATATCCCATATCACTCTATCTTTCACTGTTGAACTAGGCTAGCTACCTGTCAAGAGCGTTGCACTAAGAATAAACTCAGTAGCTGCAGCAAAATACGAATTGGTTCCTTTGTGTGTCTTTTGTGCTATTCTTGACATCCTAGCTAATGGCTTTGGAGCTGTTTGTGACTGTGTAATGCGCAGGTGGGCTAGATCTGATTATATTTACTAAGAACAGGTGGAGGTTACTGTGAAACTACTGCTTTAAAAAGCATTATACTTTACCTTTAGCAATATTTAGAGAGTGTTGACACAGAAAGTGCTGAGTAAGGAAACAACAAATTAGGTAGGATAGAGAAATTCCCCTTATGTGGAATAAAATACTAAGCAAGAGGCAGAGGAAGGGAGAAAAATGTACATAGAAAGCTTAAACAGCATGCCGGTAAGTGATGACCTATGCCAACAAGTTTGTCAGAAATATTGGTGTGCACTGTGCTGAGCTTCTTTAGACTCAGACTTGAGTTAGAAAAAGAATGGATCACTTATGGGTTACACCTGTGAACCATGATGTTGATCCGTTGTTCAAAACCTCAAAAATATTGGTTGTCAGAAGGTTAGAGTCACTTCTTGCTCCAGACCAGGCACCTGAAGATAGAACAGCCATTACAAGTTATTCTTATGGGGGAAAACTGGTGCCAGATAATTTCATCCTGTCGTGTATTGTGGAAGAGGAGTCACCATGTTGTAAGAGCTACACACTTGCCTGTGGACCAGAAGATCTGTTAATGGGATTTTGGGGATGTTTACTGTTGGTTTGTTCTCTCCAGAATTCCTTGTATTTCCTGATAAGTGATTTGTTTATGATAATGACAATGAATGGGCGTGTTGTTTCTCTTTTGTTCCATTCTTTGCAAGTCTGTCTGTCTTTTGCAAGTCTGTCTGCCAACTCATTTCCTGGTTCCATTGGAGAACGATGTTAACTTTTTAAAACCATTAAAAAAAAAGCTGTGAGAAGAGCAGCCTGGGTGATTCTGTTTGAATATGTTGTTTCAGAATGTCCGGAGCTCGAATTGTTGGTCACCTGGTGCACAGTCTCAAGCCTGGCCAATTAGGTATTGGAGGAATATGCAACGGTGGAGGTGGAGCTTCAGCCATTTTGATAGAAAAATTATAGTTGTTTACATCCCTGTCACAAGCATAATGTTTTAAATACTAAAAAAAACATTTGTGATAAGTGTTGGCACAAAATTGATAGTCTACATACAATAACGGTTCAGAAAAGTGGAACTCTGTGAAATAGAAAATTGGTTATTGATTTACATTATGGTGCATGGGTAACAGCCACTCAGCCTGTATCAGGTGATATTTAAGTGTATGGATGGTGGTGACTATCCCCATTTCATTTAGATATACATTTAAAATATCCATGCAATCTCAAGAATTGAAAAGCTTCTGTTTTTAAAATTGTCATAATTTTTTTAATGACAAAAGAGACTAACAATGCTAGAAATAATTTTCATTTTTATCTTCTCACCACATGTTCTATTAGTCTAGAAGTATATGCTCTTAAATGTACACATCACTGTGCACATAATATTTGGTGCCATACAGTTTAGTAAAGCTGATTATAAAAGGAGAGTTATTTTGGTGTAAAATAATGAAAACATAGTTGTGCTTCCTGAATGATCATTCATTGTGTTCTTGATTACTAATTGAGCGTTGCTGTTTATTGTGAAGCACAATTTCTGTTTATTTAGTAATTAATGTACATATTCATTGATTTTGTTTGTTGACTTTGCCTGTTATTTCTCAACTGTTTTGAAAATTATGGTACCAGCAAAATAAAAGAAATTTAAAAAAAAAAAAAGAAAAGAAAAAAAAAAAAACTGAAAAAAAAGTAAACCTCAGCTAATATTTGGAGGTGGTGGCCTTAATTTCTCTATGTTTGTTCTTGATCCCACATTTTATTGCAGTCTTCTCATTGCTCTCTGTTCATTGTATTTTTAAAATGTGAATATGTGGTATTTGTTACCAGGACACCCTAATCAGGTATCCAAACCTTTTAATCTGTTGTTCTTTAATAGAATGAACCACAGATGTCAGTCCTAGTTTTCTCACTTCTTCATTAAAAAAAATGTCATCTCCTTGTATACCAGAGGTTTTTCTAAGACAGGGCCATTTAACTAAATTTGCTCAGGGGCCAGCCTTAGGGCAATGGGGATTTGTCGCGGGCAGATGACCAAGCCCCAGTATAGAAAGAACATTATTACAATACAGTTGGCAGGTAATCCGCGGGCCATTTATCAGGCCTCTTCAGGCCACATTTGGCTTGCGGGGGTGCCAGTTGAATAGCCTGTTCTAAGATATCTTGTCTTTGTTGTTAAGATGTGTGTGTGTTTTATATTGAAATTGCTTATCTCCATATTATTAATGGTCATATTGTGTTACTGTTTGTTTTCTGCCTGTTAATTCTAAATATGTATCTAAAAATGGTTTCTGGGAAATTAAAAAAACTGCAGTCAAAAACATTTTCCTTGTATATTTTATATCATGTGGAAAATTAAAACTGTTTAACTTTTACAACACTTAAAAGCATGCTGTATCTAGAATGTAGGTTTGGAAGCATTACATAAGAACATACCGTTGTAAAGTTGACATCAGAGATCCACAGTTGTATAAAATAATGTGTAAACTGTCAGACATTTATATAAGTTTAATATTTTAAAGCTTAAAGTTAGTTGTGTAACCTTTACAGGGCGTTGCAGAACCACCCCCAGCATTTTTTTTTTTTGGCTGGATGTGATTTAACTAGGCCCATTAATGTTTTTTCAGCTGTCTGATTTAACTAGGCCCATTAATGTTTTTTCAGCTGTCTGATTTAACTAGGCCCATTAATGTTTTTTCAGCTGTCTGATTTAACTAGGCCCATTAATGTTTTTTCAGCTGTCTGATTTAACTAGGCCCATTAATGTTTTTTCAGCTGTCTGATTTAACTAGGCCCATTAATGTTTTTTCAGCTGTCTGATTTAACTAGGCCCATTTATGTTTTTTCAGCTGTCTGATTTAACAAGGCAATTTTACATTAAGTAATTTCTTAATGGTTGGTACTCGATACTGCTGTGGAAACCAGCGCCAGGCGGTCTGCTGCCAATCACTGTGGCTAGAATCCAAACCGGTATCTGGAATTACAAAGTGCGTTCGCAGAGCCTAAACAACAGATACCAACAAGTTTGATGTAGAGTCTTGAAACATACAACAAGTGACAATCAAAATATGTTTGTTTTATCAAAAATTTAAGAATGTTGCTTTGTTTTAAGTCATTTAACAAACAAAAAAAGGCAAAAACATTTCAAAACTCATGTTTCTTACAACTACAAAGCATTAATTCAAGAAAACATACTGGAGAGGAAAATTACTCTTCACATGTGAGATAACACTTTCAGTCGCAAGTTCTGTACAGTTTTTCTTTTTCTTGCGTGTGTTTTTTTCATACAGACATCAGTTCCGGTTAATTTTATAGTTTTCTAGTGTGTCAGATAGTTTTTAGTTGCCTGTGTTGTCTAAGGTGCCTTATAACTTTCTGCAGTGTCTGTTGTTTAATGTGTCATGAAACTGTGTCCAATAAACTATAAGGCTTTTTTGTTGCCTGATGTGTTCTGAACTGTTCATAAATGAAAGCTGCACGGGAGCAGAAGTCTTTATCTCACTGGGATTACAAATGAACTGATTTAGGATAGATTGCTAACAAAGAAGTATGCGGAAAAAAATAAGGGTGGAAGTTTTAACAAAATAATTCTCAAAGCAGCCACTAAATCAATTCCAAGAGGGACAAGGAAAAATTACAAACCATCCTAGACTGAAAAACTTCATTTTTAGGAGAAAAAAAGTTGAGCACCTGAGAGTGAGGACAAAAATCTCATTTACAGTCACTTCAGTTATGAGGGTTGTTCAAAAAGTAATGCATCACATCATTTTTCTCAGAAACTGTTTATTCAAAAAGCATGAAATATACACACAATGTACAAGGATATGTCTTTATGTCAGTGCAAAACAAGTCATGTATTCCTAGCCTGCACCAGATTTTGTCTGGATCGTGAAGCTATTTCTTTGCTGCATGAATTATTCCTTTATCGTCTTCAGACTTTGTCCCATGGAGTGAGTCCATAAACGGACCAAACAGGAAAATCTTGATCAATTTGCTTAAAAAATCCAAACTGGATTTATCAGAGAAGAATGGATTGAAACACTAAGCACTTCACGAATATCTGCCCTAACCTTTATCTTTGTGCCAGGTCATGCGGGTGTTCAAGGGAACGAGCGTGCAGTCTATCTTGCTGACACTGCAGTTGCTATGACTGGCCCAGTACTGAACAGAAGTGATGTTAGCGCTGCACTTACCGTACCGAGGAGCACGCCAAAGGACATGACTCCATATCCCTGTCTAGACTGATGGACATGGGGGTGCAACCTGGAGCTGCAAGAAATGAACATTTCACTAAGGGACAAGACGTTTCATTAACCAACACAGAACAGGCGTCATCAGTCTTTTTACACTTGTAGAGCTTTTGAGGAGGAGATCGGAGCACCTATGGATCTGTCTGGAGTGCTGTGATGATAATCCTTTTTAATCACTAATCACTAAACAGGAAAATCAGAGGGTAGCAATTTTGGACCATAGGATGGATGGGATAGGACAATCCAAACCAGTTTGCTGATTATTTCCCATGTTGCTAGACTTGTGTGAGAGCGCACACTGTCGTGAAAGAGGATCAGGTCTGCTGGATTCTTGTTTGGCCGAACTCTTTGAAAACGTTGACACCGAAAATACATTTGACCTGTAAGAAACAGTACTGCAATTCCTCACAACTGAGCACAGACATGAAGTTGTGCGCTGGCATTTAGATCCTTTGTGATGACCGACTCTGCTCACAGATCTGCCATCACAAGTGAATGTTTAGTGAAACACAACATCTCATTGCTTACACACCCTCTACATCCCCTTATTTTCTCCTCCCCACTAAAGTGACTTCTTGCTCTCACAGCTCAAGAAGGTAATGAATGAATCAAGAATTGACATCACTGCCCTCGGCACATTCCCACATGCTCCTTTACCTTCTAGAGTAGCCATCGCAGAGTCATGCTAACAATATGAATTTAAAACTGATTAAAAGTCCACCTTTTCCCCTCCTCAATGCTGAAAATTTTCTAAACCCCCCCCCCCCCCCTTCTTTGTTTAAATACCATTGATCACAAGCATCATGAGATCTGGTAGACTGAAACTGCTTGGGCACATTGAGAGAATGTCAAATAACAGAAAAGGTAGAAACTGTATACACAAGGGAGCTGAATGGTCATAGAACACGAGGCAGACCAAGAAGACGACAAAGAGACAACGTCCAGACAGACCTACAAACACTTGGTGTCACTAAATGGAAAGAGAGATGAGTGGAGGCAGGGGATATCTGCAGCAATGCTGCAAAACTAAAGTTTGGAACAAGAGCAAAGTCCAGAAGTGGACGAATAACCAGAATTTTCTGCTGGAGTTTACAGACGATGAAATCTAAGAGGAGGAGGCAGAAATACTGAAACCAAATGAAATAAATCTGAACACATCCCCCAATGTCTGGGTGTCCTGGAGATTTGTACGTAAACTTTCAAGCATCAAGGAGTCTTATTTATATCACCTTTTTTTGACTGCCTGACTTAAGTCATAGAAAGAAAGGTAGATGCAAAACAGAAGGAATATTTGTCACTATCTTTTTGACTGTTCAATTAAAAAAAAAAAAAGGAAAATTTCTAAGGAGCAAACATTTTTTTTTGAAACTAAAAAAAAAAAAAAGGGGGAATGGGAGGGGAACGTAGCCCTAATAATTTTTTTTATATATTTTTTGTAGAGAAACTTCTGGGAAACTGAAGTTGGCTGCTGCTTTTCTGTAAATGTGGAGAAAAAAAAACATTCTTTCTTTGTTGTTAAGAAGGAAAAAAGTATAAAACAGAAGGCAGTTTTTGAAATTTTAGACATTTAATATATGGCATAATTTCATAGGCATATTTGTCATAAATTGTTTTATTATACAAGAGTATAATTTAGTATGTACAAAAAATGTATGGAATTAATGCATAGATTGTTAGTACATAGTAAGTACCTAGACTGTTAATATTAGATAGCAAAACTCTTAAAATTATAAGGTAACAGTATAATTGATAAGAACATTAACAAATGAATGCACATGATGTGTTTACAAAGACAAGCACTCGTGTGTGTGCACACACTTTTACTATCAGTCCAAAATCTGTTTCTGTTGACAAAGGTGATGGTAATTGACTAGAATGTCGCCTTTGATAGGACACAATAATGGGGAAAAAAGTAACACTGCATAAATGCACATTACTGAAATACATGATGAGACCTAAACCACTTATATATTATTGCTTTTTACTTTTGTTATGTATGAATTTTATCTCTGACATCTTTATAATAGGACTTGTTTAGTGCTGTGTAATGAGTACAACTTGTACTTAGCTGTCCAGTCTTAGGTAATGAGTACAACTTGTACTTAGCTGTCCGGTCGTGTGTAATGAGTACAACTTGTACTTAACTGTCCAGTCTTGGGTAATGAATACAACTTATACTTAGCTGTCCGGTCGTGTGTAATGAGTACATCTTGTACTTAGCTGTCCAGTCTTGGGTAATGAGTAAACTTGTACTTAGCTGTCCAGTCTTGTGTAATGAGTACAACTTGTACTTACTTAGCTGTCCAGTCTTGAATAATGAGTACAACTTGTACTTAGCTGTCCAGTCTTGTGTAATGAGTACAACTTGTGCTTAGCTGTCCAGTCTTGTCTAATGAGAACGACTTGTACTTAGCTGTCCAGTCCTGTGTAGTGAGTACAACTTGTACTTAGCTGTCCAGTCTTGTGTAATGAGTACAACTTGTACTTAGCTGTCCAGTCTTGCATAATGAGTACAACTTGTACTTAGCTGTCCAGTCTTGTGTAATGAATACAACTTGTACTTAGCTGTCCAGTCTTGTGTAATGAGTACATCTTGTACTTAGCTGTCCAGTCCTGTGTAGTTAGTACAACTTGTACTTAGCTGTCCACTCGTGTGTAATGAGTACAACTTGTACTTAGCTGTCCAGTCTTGCATAATGAGTACAACTTGTACTTAGCTGTCCAGTCTTGTGTAATGAATACAACTTGTACTTAGCTGTCCAGTCTTGTGTAATGAGTACATCTTGTACTTAGCTGTCCAGTCTTGTGTAATGAGTACAACTTGTACTTAGCTGTCCAGTCTTGTGTAACGAGTACATCTTGTACTTAGCTGTCCAGTCTTGTGCAATGAGTACAACTTGTACTTAGCTGTCCAGTCTTGTGTAATGAGTACAACTTGTACTTAGCTGTCCAGTCTTGTGTAATGAGTACATCTTGTACTTAGCTGTCCAGTCTTGTGTAATGAGTACAACTTGTGTTAGTTGTAGCTCTCATGTTACTTTACAGTCAAATTCAACTTTTGGCACGGCTGTCTCTAATAAAGTTGACCAACTGCATAACTTAGAAATTGAAATATTTCTATCACAATTTGTAACTGAGAAACCAAGACATTTATTAAGTATAAAAATAATTATCAATGTGACACAAACAAATAGTAATTACTAATATTGATAGTAAGTTAATATTCTGTACCAGTTTGATGATTTTAATTGTTGCCACCAAATATGTTGGGTAATTTTGTGTAGGGTTTGTAGATCATGTGTTTTAGCAGCATTTTCTGCTGTTTCTGCTAGATTTTCCATAAATCTTCTCTTGTCAGTTCTGGCACTTTTCTTTACCATTTTAGTTAGTTCGCCATTTTCTAACATTAGTTTGTCTTTAGTATTTGACTCTGTTATGATGTTTTTGAAACACATCAACTAACATTCTTTTTTTTTTTCTGAAGTGCTTGCAGAGTCACACAGCCAAGCTGGACTTTACTTTAAAAAAAAAAAACATGGTCTGTTTATGTTTTTCTATGTGTACCATCAGTATAAGGACTCTTCGGTTGCTGATGAGGGAGAGGGAGGTAATACAGGCTTGTCATGAATGCTGTAATGTCAAATCTTCTATGTAAAATCTTCAAATCTGTACCCAGATGCAGTCTGGAGTGTCCTTTTAGTATGGCTGTAGAGTCTATGTGTCCAGTTTTCAAAGTAAATACAATGGTCATATATGTGTGTTCTTGAAGTTTGAAACTGAAGTACTTTGGCCATTTCAAATGTCACAATGGCTTGGGAAGAAAAATAATGGAGGTCATGGTACTGGGAAAGATAGGCAGGGACTGACCAGCACAAAAGTGGGCATAGAAAAAAAGGAGGCACATTGGGTTGGAGAATGCATGAAGCAGGGGAGCAGAACAAAGGACTAGATTTTCTTCAAGCAGACTGTGATGGTAAAGCAGACACGGATGGTAAAGCAGACTGTGATGGTAAAGCAGACTGTGATGGTAAAGCAGACTGTGATGGTAAAGCAGACTGTGATGGTAAAGCAGACTGTGATGGTAAAGCAGACACGGATGGTAAAGCAGACTGTGATGGTAAAGCAGACTCGGATGGTAACAACATTCTGCAAAGGACCTGCTATTTAATAATGTAAAGATGATCAGCTTTGTTTTGTATGAAAATTATGTTGGCTGCTGAGGCAGGAAACAGAGCACGATGTGGCAATGTCCTGAGTACAGTAATGGGAATTCCTGATTAATTCCCTCATTCACTCAGCCTGTTTGTTTCCCAGCACATCACAGTGTCATGGGATTTATGGGTGATGAACAAAGACAGATTTTGAGGCAGCTTAATTTAAGAATAATCATAAACAACATATCGTATGGTAGGATAAGTTTGACTCTCTAAGTATACAGTGAAATTTTTTAAATGCAGAAACACCTATTACAACAGATAAACTGTCACATATTTCACACATCACTGCCTTGGACTGAATCATAAAATACTGAAGTATAAGTCGCAGCCTGCTTTCCTTTAATATATGTACCAGTTGTCAAGTCATAGCTTTGATCTACTGATGGTACCTGTGGTGCATTCCTACTACTACTATAAGAATTCCTGTCATTGAAAGGTACTCTTGGGTATAAATCTCTTTGCTGTGAAACAACAGCCAGTCCACTAATTCTTGGTGAATCTGGGTTCTGATGTTCAAAATAAGAACTTTTATTTGCACTGCTCTGAAATTGATGCAGATGACTTTTCTGTGCACTGCTGAGAGTTTGAAAATTGTTTCTTGGACTAAAAGTTTGATTTGCAACATCTTGGGGCTTCTCATTATCAGAAAGGTGACAATGAAAATCTTGCTTTCCACTGACTACATTTTGTTTCTGAAAATAGTTGTCCTCATTTCTCAAACTATATTGTTCAGAATTCCTTTGGCTACAACTGTGGTTTTGTTTCAGCCTATCAGCAGCTTCAATAAGTTTCCGCTGATACCATCCTTGAATATGGGCTTGTATTGCAACCTGGGACATGTCTTCTGAGGTTTGCTGTTGGCTGTTAGTTCTGCCATTAGACTGGTTATGTCCAGAATTATTGTTTGATGTGTTCTGGGCTAATTTTACTTGCTTTAAAACTGAAGTATTGTCTGAACATGCCAATACAGGTTTATGCACCTGTTCATTCAGTTTATTTGATGGCTTTACTTCTTGATCTTCTTTGAAAGAAAATTTATAATTATTTGGTCCACTTTGCTGAAAGATAAGTCTTTCATTGATATTGGTGTAATTCCCAGATCTTTGACTACCAGCTTTCTCTTCATAATCTTGACTTGTGTCACCTAGTAACAGTTTGGCTGCAGACAGATGTGTATTGCTATCACAACCAGTATGAGAATACCTATTACTGTTATAGCTACTCGGGCCATGTTCTGCTGGCTTAGAGGACAATGAAGGAGGTGGCATATGTGATAATTTGTCATAGCAAATGCTGCTGCTTTGATGCGTGCTATCTAACACTTTATTCCAAACATCCCCTAAAGTTACATTTCCATATGATGGTACCTTAGAATTGCTATTAACATACAACACATCTGAATTGTAATTATTACAATTGCTTCCTGTATAAGGAATATCACCTCTTGAAATACTAGAATGGCTGTTAATATTCTTATTAGGTCCAATATCTGATGATAACCGACATTCATTGCCATATTTAGGATTTGTAGAAATATGATAATTGTTTGTTGAAGTTTTCATTCTGTCATTAGAAAGTTCACTATGAGTTATGTATGGTGAATCAGTGTTACTTGGAGTATTGCAGCCACTTCTTTCTGCACTAAAAGATGAGCTGGGTGTTCCGCCACTTGTATCAATACCCCTCTTCAGCCCTTGCCCATGGTATCCAGAATCTTGGTTACTGCTACAAGTACTATCTTCTTTGTTTCCTTGAGCATATGCAGGGGGAGCTATGGTGCTTGAATTAACTAAAATGTCATGTTGCAAACAATCATTCTTTATGCTGGGAAGTGTCCTGTAGGTGCTTTTAATGACATCAAACTTCTGTCAGATTTTTCAGGAAAAGCAACCTGACTGTGTTTATCAGTGTTACTAACCTCTGATTCTGATCTGTCAGTGTTTTTATTATCAAGGTTATTGACCCTTTTGTACAGTGATGCTGGCTGTATATGTTCTCTTAAAGAGTGTTTAAACATTGGCAAAGCCATTATCTCTTTATCAGGATCAACAATTTGATTAAGTGTGCTAAAATATGTAGGACTTTGTACTCGTTCTATTGCTGGCTTAAATGAAATATTACTTTGCTGTGGGAAATTAATGAAAGGAGCACCATTAAGCCCAAACAATGCATCATCCTGGCTAGTTGATGTCTCAGGAAGACGGTATCTATGGGTGGCACGCAAAGATGTACTGGCTGGGTGCAGACTTCGGCTGTCAATCACTTGCGAGCTGCTTCCTGTGGAAGAATGTTTTATAGCAGTGTCTGTTAAATAGCCAGAGTTATAGGCAGTTGCAGTTTCTGAATCACCATCTAAAGCATTTTCCACACTATGACATCGTGCAATGTTTCTTGAATATGATAAACTGCTCTCATTAAGAAGAGAATCAGTGGATAGAGTTCTTGAACTATACTTGCCCTCGCAGTCTGCTAGTTTCTGGTTATAACTTTGGAACCCGGAATTTTTGTTGATATGCAGTTTGTCTCGACCAGTGAGCAAGAGTTTGTGGGAGTCCCCCAGCTCACTGGACTTTATGCCTGTGTTTGGAGGACCCCCTTTGGGTAAATTCTGCTGTGACCAGTTTGAATGTTGAATAGCTGGTGCTATACTGTGCCCCATATTATTTTGGGAAGCAGGGCTAATTACATGTGCAGAACTTCTGAAGTTTTGTCTGCTCTGGTTGACTTGATCCATTTGATTATGTGAGTTACCAAGAGAAAGTGAAGCAGACAGAGAATGGTGCTGTGACTGCTCAAGATGCTGTTTCTGCTGATCCTTTGAGAATGTTACTCTAGATCTTTTTTTGTTTATGTAGTCTTTTTCTGGAGCTGTTTTGGAAACATTCTGCTTCCAAGGTAAGTTCCCCCCTCTACTCATGATGCCAGTCTTTTCTGTGTTGCTATAATGAGGGGTCAGATTACCAGGCGATGGTATCAAGTTTTTGCCTGAGTTGAAAGCATCATGTTCATTTTCACAGTTTTGAAGATTTTCTGCAGTATGCTCTAGTGCCTGTGTAAGTGCATGTGTAACTACCTTGTTGCTGCCTGCAATTACATTATTATTTCTTTCTTTATATCTTGATTTGTTCATGTCACCGAAACTGCCAAAAGCTGCAACATCCCAGCCACGTATATGTTGCATAGCTGCTTTTCTTGATGCATAAAAATCTTTCTTCCTAAATTTGCCACTGCAATCAGAAGCTGAAAGTGTTTCATCAGATCTTGAACGTATCAGTCTTCCTGAGGTAGGAAAGTCAACAAATAAGTTTCGTGGTGGGAGTGCCGAATCATCATGGTGATGATCCAGACAGTGTCCATAGCTTGCTAGTCTGTCATTTAACCAATACTCGAGCTCTTCCTTTATATTTTCATTTGCTTGATTAAATCTGGTTTGATTTTCCTGTCTTTCTTCTTGCAAACGTTCTGTGATCCTGCCATGGCAGGCATCTTTCTCATTCTGCAATCTATCATTTATTAAAACCTCTGTAGCATAAGCCTGTTGATTTGTTCGAATGTCTAAATTGTCTATTCGCTGAGACAAAAGATGGTGTGAAGTATTGATGTGCTTCTGCAGCGATTCACGTGTATCAGTAATGTTGTTCTCGAGTCGTCTCAGAGATGGGCCACATTGACATACAGGGGCATATCCAATAGGACCCTGCAATGAACATTAAAGTAAAGAAATTAAAGTTATATTAAAGAAATGTAAAATTGTAAATGATAGATGAAAATGCAAAATTAACAAACATTAGCTCCATGAATAATTTAATGACACAGTATTTGTGAAAAATGCCATTTGTGTGGTTAAATGTGACATTTGTTAGAAATGCCTATTGTGTGATGTTAAATGTGACATTTGTGAAAAAGCCTGTTGTGTGATGTTAAATGTGATATTTGTGAGAAATGCCTATTGTGTGATGTTAAATGTGACATTTGTGAGAAATGCTTGTTGTGTGATGTTAAATGTGACGTTTGTGAGAAATGCCTGTTGTGTGGTGTGAAATGTGACATTTGGGAGAAATGCCTGTTGTGTGATGTTGAATGTGACATTTGTGAGAAATGCCTGTTGTGTGATGTTAAATGTGACATTTGTGAGAAAGTCTGTTGTGTGATGTTAAATGTGATATTTGGGAGAAATGCCTGTTGTGTGATGTTAAATGTGACATTTGGTGAGAAATGCCTGTTGTGTGATGTTAAATGTGACATTTGGGAGAAATGCCTGTTGTGTGATGTTAAATGTGACATTTGGTGAGAAATGCCTGTTGTGTGATGTTGAATGTGACATTTATGAGAAATGCCTGTTGTGTGATGTTAAATGTGACATTTGGGAGAAATGCCTGTTGTGTGATGTTTACTGGTGCATTGTCATTATTAATACATCCAGAGATAAAGTTACAGCTGTTCTATTTAGTATAATGGGATCCTGCCATATATTCTCCCCATTCAACACAGATTAATCAAAGACTTGTAATTACTGGCACACAATCTCAGAATGTATAGACTTCTGAAGATGCACTGACCAGAAACCAAGAGATGGTAAAGACTCTGCACATTAACTTTAATTCTGCAGTTGATAAACTTGCTAAATGTTCCTTGAATATGAGTTCAACTGAATATTTTCCCACGATAAAAAATAACGCAACTCATGCACTTTTCTAAAAATTGGAGAAAAGCTCCTCAATGGCCACATACACAGATGAATCTGTAATAAGAGCTAGAAAGTGTGGGTGCAGTTTTATTGCAAAGGTGAATGGACCCTGTTTGAAAACAGAGAGCTTCGTGTATAATGTCACAACATCCAGTATGAGAGCAGAGAGCCTCGTGTATAATGTCACAACATCCAGTATGAGAGCAGAGAGCCTCGTGTATAATGTCACAACATCCAGTATGAGAGCAGAGAGCCTCGTGTATAATGTCACAACATCCAGTATGAGAGCAGAGAGCCTCGTGTATAATGTCACAACATCCAGTATGAGAGCAGAGAGCCTCGTGTATAATGTCACAACATCCAGTATGAGAGCAGAGAGCCTCGTGTATAATGTCACAACATTCAGTATGAGAGCAGAGAGCTTCATGTATAATGTCACAACATCCAGTATGAGAGCAGAGAGCCTTGTGTATAATGTCACAACATCCAGTATGAGAGCAGAGAGCCTCGTGTATAATGTCACAACATCCAGTATGAGAGCAGAGAGCCTCGTGTATAATGTCACAACATCCAGTATGAGAGCAGAGAGCCTCGTGTATAATGTCACAACATTCAGTATGAGAGCAGAGAGCTTCATGTATAATGTCACAACATCCAGTATGAGAGCAGAGAGCCTTGTGTATAATGTCACAACATCCAGTATGAGAGCAGAGAGCCTCATGTATAATGTCACAACATCCAGTATGAGAGCAGAGAGCCTCGTGTATAATGTCACAACATCCAGTATGAGAGCAGAGAGCCTCGTGTATAATGTCACAACATTCAGTATGAGAGCAGAGAGCCTCGTGTATAATGTCACAACATCCAGTATGAGAGCAGAGAGCCTCATGTATAATGTCACAACATCCAGTATGAGAGCAGAGAGCCTCGTGTATAATGTCACAACATCCAGTATGAGAGCAGAGAGCCTCGTGTATAATGTCACAACATCCAGTATGAGAGCAGAGAGCCTCGTGTATAATGTCACAACATCCAGTATGAGAGCAGAGAGCCCCGTGTATAATGTCACAACATCCAGTATGAGAGCAGAGAGCCCCGTGTATAATGTCACAACATCCAGTATGAGAGCAGAGAGCCCCGTGTATAATGTCACAACATCCAGTATGAGAGCAGAGGCAGTAATGCCAGCTTTTTGATGACTATAGAGTAGCACAGTCCAATGTTTGGTAAACAGCACAGTCCAATGTTTGGTAAACATCACAGTCCAATGTTTGGTAAACAGCCCAGTCCAATGTTTGGTAAACAGCACAGTCCAATGTTTGGTAACTGTAAAGAACTCACAAAGCATGCTTAAGAAAACAGAAACTGGTGTCCTACGTGTAAAGTGGATTGCATTGCTTGATAAGACTCAGATCAGGAGCATTTCATGGATTTTCTGTCAAGGATATTCAGGTGTGGGGGGCTAATGAGCTGACAGATTGGCTGATTCTCTGGGTGGTCAGCAACACAATGTGGTGAAGGCTCTCTGTGATCAAGTGGACAGTGAAAGTTGGGGTGGGGGATGGGAGGTGGGTGGGGGTGAGCAGAGGTTCTGGAAGGTATTTAATACTGAGAGGAAAGCAAAGGGGAACTTTTAATCAGGCTGCAATTGGTACCATTAGCATACTGACTCTTCGTTGCCTACTGAGGAAGGAGATGGAACACGTGGGTAAGTCTCGAGTGCAGGGATGTCAATTCTTGATTTATTCATTTGTTCAGCTGTCAAAATTTGTAGCAATGGATGTCTGCTGACATTTATCCTCATATGCATCATCATCTTGCTGTGCTTTGTGCATCACATAGGCCTTGCAGTTTAAGTCTTCCATTCCATTCTATCTTGTGCAATCCTCTTAATATGATGGATGGAATTCAGACCAGCCCCTTTGGCTTCTCTTAAGATTCATCTCAGCTTTGTTCTTGGGTGTCATTTCCTCAATCTGTTTGTTTCCTGTCTCGTTGTACTGTCTGGTGATTCTTTCCCTTCCTCCTCATGATGTGGCCAATATCTTGCTGTCTTCTTTGTGGTATAATTGATGATACAAGTGGCTGTCCATATGGCATAAACCCTAAGAACATCATCGAAGGTAAATTACAGATGGATAAAAGATGTGAAGATCAGGCTCTGTTATGACACAAAGATGTATGCAAGCGAGATATGAATAAAACATGCACTGTGATGGATTCACAAGACTGCATGCCACAGACTGTTTTGCATGGAAGGGGAAATCAGGAAAGGAACAGGAATAAATTGATGTGACAACAATATAAAATTACAAGTGAAGATACAAAGAGAGGGAGGAGGGATGAGAGAGAGAGAGAGAGAGAGAGAGAAAGAGAGACGGATACAGAGGGAGGGAAAAAAATTAACCAGAACATCAAGCACATGTGGGTGTGTCTCAAGTATTATGTTATTTTAGTTTTTCAATCAATCGATCATTTTGTAAGAATCAGCAAGGCATAAATATAGCAAATCTGTATAAGAATAACAGAAAATGCATGGTTCAAGATGCAACTGTACTCGATTAGAAAAAAAAAAAATTAAGGAGCATTTATGTATAATCTGCGTATGTGCTACACTGATACTTGTATTTTTATATTCAATTAAGCATTCAATGGGTGATGTGATCAATATACTATATCACACTATAAAATACAGTGGATTCACAACAATTCATGCACAAGTGATCCGATTATCTATACAGATGGTTCGGTTTTGAGAGGAAAGAGAAGTTCTGGGGGTTTGTAGCGAAAGCCAATGGAAAATCTTTAGTGCAAGACAGTCTAGCATACGACACTAACATCTGGCATGAGAATGGAGGTGGAGGCGGTGACTGCAGCTCTCTGGTGGCTACAGAACCAGATGCATACACATGACGTAATTGTAACAGACTCTGAAAGAATGCTGAGAAAGGTGAAGACAGGGATGCTTCGAGCAGAGTGGCAAGCTTTAGTGGGAAGGTTATGGGTAGTGAGCATACTTTGGATCTTTTCTCCAGGTTATGCTGTAGGATAGACTGGTTGGATCTGCACCAAGGGGTGGTGAATTGATACATGACAAGGGAGATGTGGTCAAGGCCCTTTGGGAACAAGCAGCGGAATCAGTAGAAAAACAAGATTATTAATTACGGCCTGGAGAGAATGAGGCACCTGGGTGTAAACAGAGGGTCTGTCCTACTCACTACACTAAGAGGAAAGGCGAGACGGACATATAACCAGATTGTGATGGGTACCTTCAGTTATGGAACTCTGTGCTGGCGGCTGAAGATGTAGATGGAGCACACCTGGGAACTCCCTAAGTGCTGTGATGTCAATACTTGACTCAGCTCAACTATGATACATTATAAAAACTTAAATACACATGTAACATTATTGGTATAACAGAAAACTGCTTTACCTGTTTGATATTGCCTGCCAGATCTCTGTAGAACTGTACACCATCTCGAGGAACATAATGAGAGAAAAAACCCTGCACTGCAGGTTTCTCATGTCCGGTGCCAGGTTTCTTGTAGCTACCTACTGGCACTGCAGTAGCTTTTTCTATATTCTTGTGAAAACAATACATTAATGAAATTAAATTATGAGGTCATTATTTTTTTAAATTCCATATGACACAGCTAATTAAGACATCCAAATGTAAGTATGATCACCAAGCAAAATATTATAAATAGCATATTTATACCAAAACTGTGCTACCAGTGCCAAACGTAGGTATCTTAAAATGCTCACAAATGCAAAATCAACATCTATGAGATAAGATGCTTAAGGAATGCTGCCACCTTGACCATCCAGAATCAAGTAAGAAATGAGAATACTATCAGATAGATTCTGGGAAGAATACTTTGCACCAAATTCACTGGGAAGCATAAAATCTTGGTTTGGTCATCTCGTTAAAATGCAGCTACAAAAAGTACCAATTTGGGCGCAACACTAGTAAAAATCTGATTTGAATGCAGGTGGGAGCGCAAAGAGAAGACTGATAGCATTTCTCTTCTTCTTCTTCTTTTCCACCTTGTACCTCAGCGAAGTGTCAGTATTTTACCTCTTCTAAGTCTATGATACTCTAACAATCTCATTAAAACCATACTGAAGATTAAATAGTAAATCAAAAAGAATATTAACATTTTAAATGCCGTCTTTGATCTCAGAAAACTTATAGAGACAAGAACTGAATTAACTGAATTTAATGAATCACTTTATTTAGCCTTCATCGATGAAGAAAAGCATATGACAGATTAGATAGGAACAAACTATGGTGAACCCTGAAAATGTATGGTATGAACAAGCATTTAATAAGCATATGTAAAAGCTTGTATAACAACAGTGAATGTACTGTTAGAACAAATGAAGGACACTTAAAACCATTCACCATAAAATCTGGCGTACGGCAGGGCTGTGTCCTGTCCTAACCCTTCTATGCATAACTTACATTGATAACATCTGTAAAGAAACCAACTGAACAAGGACCATAAAATACCAAGGAGAAGAAGATCCAAAACCACACAGTTTTATCAAGAAAACTACTACTTACGGACGACCAAGCACTAATTGCTACTTCAGAAACTGAACAGCCCTGATCCTAATGACAGCATTAACCATCTAACAAGAAGGGACCAGGCCACCATCTTCAGACTTAGAACGCAACATACTCCACTCAATGGACACCTAAACAGAATACAGCCACAACACTCCCCAGAGTGCCAGCTATGTAACTACCCCTACGAAACTGTTGAACACCATCTCTTTGAGTGCCCAAAACTCAGTGAGACAAGAAGAACGCTACTCCCTCCGAGACCAGACAAGTGGAACACCTTGTACGGAGGAAAAGAACAGCTTGTGAAAACATGCAAATTCCACTACATGGCACTGGGCCAAAGGGCGAAAGCTCATGCGCCGCTGGATCGATAACAACAACAACAACAACAAACTGAACTGCAAGACCACATAAATTATTTAAACCAAATTTGCAAACAGCATAACAGGAAAATTAATGCCAACAAAACAGAGGTCATGACCACTGCCAAAAAAGACGAAACAATACATTTCCAGCTTACAGAACACCCTCCGAAACCAACCTGAAAACTTCAAATACTTAGAAAGTATAATAGCATCAGCTGGTAAAGCAGAAGATGAGACCGATGACAGACAAAAAAGAGCAAACCAACTCATTGAGCTAATGGCACCAATACTATGAAATAAACATGTATCAGTAGAAATCCAAAGAGCTCTCTATAACAATCTTTTTGCTGAGTGAATTACTAAAGACAGTGAAGTTCATACTAGAGACAACAGATAATCTATTTCAAGCGAACAAAAGAAGAAGAAGAAGAAGACAATCTTTTTTTTTTTTTTAAACTAACCCTGTTATCAATGCCAGACGTGGACAATGAAAGGGAAAAAAAAAGAAAAATGACAACACTGAAATTAAATTTCTGTGAAGGGCTCTCAATATAACAAGAAGAGAAATGAGTTTAGAAATGATAAAGTCTGAAGGAAACGGATAAGAGCAGCTCTGGATTTCATTAGAAGACAAAAGGTGAAATGGTTTGGCCATATAACACGGATATCAGTAGACAGTATACCACAGCAAGCAATTATGTACAGCCCGGGCTGGAAGCGAAGAAGAAGCCGACCGTGCAAGCGATGGACAGAGAAAATTACAGTCACTGGGAATTCCCATCTATGGAGCACAATTATTGTAAAACCTGGCTTAAAATCTGTAATCTGTTTTAATGAATGCAGAATTTATGCAATATTAAACAGCATAAAGTATCAAACAACAATAATTTCTATTATTTGAAAACATAGTAATTCAGAAGAGTTGAAAATTATATCTTTGATTAAACTGATTCTGATACTACTACCACCATCACTACTAGTCTACCATTACCACTACTACTACCACCACTACTACTAGTCTTCCATTACCACTACTACTACCACCACAACTACTAGTCTACTATTACCACTACTACTACCACCACCACTACTAGTCTACTATTACCACTACTACTACCACCACCACTACTAGTCTACTATTACCACTACTACTACCACCACCACTACTACTAGTCTACTATTACCACTACTACTATCACCACTACTACTAGTCTTCCATTACCACTACTACTATCACCACTACTACTAGTCTTCCATTACCACTACTACTACCACCACCACTACTACTAGTCTTCCATTACCACTACTACCACCACTACTACTAGTCTTCCATTACCACTACTACTATCACCACTACTACTAGTCTTCCATTACCACTACTACTACCACCACCACTACTACTACCACCACCACTACTACTACCACCACTACTACTAGTCTACCATTACCACCACTACTACCACCACCACTACTACTAGTCTATTATTACCAATACTACTATCACCACTACTACTAGTCTTCCATTACCACTACTACTACCACCACAACTACTAGTCTTCCATTACCACTACTACTATCACCACTACTACTAGTCTTCCATTACCACTACTACTACCACCACAACTACTAGTCTTCCATTACCACTACTACTATCACCACTACTACTAGTCTACCATTACCACTACTACTACCACCACTACTACTAGTCTACTATTACCACTACTACTACCACCACTACTACTAGTCTACCATTACCACCACTACTATCACCACAACTACTAGTCTACCATTACCACTACTACTACCACCACTACTACTAGTCTTCCATTACAACTACTACTATCACCACTACTACTAGTCTACCATTACCACTACTACTATCACCACTACTACTACCACCACAACTACTATCTACCATTACCACCACTACCACCACCACTACTACTAGTCTTCCATTACCACTACTACTAACACCACTACTACTAGTCTACCATTACCACCACTACCACCACCACTACTACTAGTCTACCATTACCACAACTACTACCACCACTACTACTAGTCTACTATTACCACTACTACTACCACCACTACTACTAGTCTACCATTACCACTACTACCACCACTACTGCTAGTCTACCATTACCACTACTACCAGAACTACTGCTAGTCTACCATTACCACTACTACTACCACCACTACTACTAGTCTTCCATTACCACTACTACTACCACCACTACTACTAGTCTTCCATTACCACTACTACTACCACCACTACTACTAGTCTTCCATTACCACTACTACTACCACCACTACTACTAGTCTTCCATTACCACTACTACCACCACTACTACTAGTCTACCATTGCCACTACTACCACCACTACTACTAGTCTACCATTACCACTACTATCACCACTACTACTAGTCTACCATTACCACTACTACCACCACTACTACTAGTCTTCCATTACCACTACTACTATCACCACAACTACTAGTCTTCCATTACCACTACTACTATCACCACTACTACTAGTCTACCATTACCACTACTACCACCACCACTACTACTAGTCTACCATTACCACTACTATCACCACTACTACTAGTCTACCATTACCACTACTACCACCACTACTGCTAGTCTACCATTACCACTACTACTACCACCACTACTACTAGTCTTCCATTACCACTACTACTATCACCACTACTACTAGTCTTCCATTACCACTACTACTACCACCACAACTACTAGTCTACCATTACCACTACTACTACCACCACTACTACTAGTCTTCCATTACCACTACTACTACCACCACTACTACTAGTCTACCATTACCACTACTACCACCACTACTACTAGTCTTCCATTACCACTACTACCACCACTACTACTAGTCTACCATTACCACTACTACCACCACTACTACTAGTCTACCATTACCACTACTATCACCACTACTACTAGTCTACCATTACCACTACTACCACCACTACTACTAGTCTTCCATTACCACTACTACTATCACCACAACTACTAGTCTTCCATTACCACTACTACTATCACCACTACTACTAGTCTACCATTACCACTACTATCACCACTACTACTAGTCTACCATTACCACTACTACCACCACTACTACTAGTCTACCATTACCACCACTACTACCACCACAACTACTAGTCTTCCATTACCACTACTACTATCACCACTACTACTAGTCTACCATTACCACTACTACTACCACCACTACTACTAGTCTACCATTACCACTACTACTACCACCACTACTACTAGTCTTCCATTACCACCACTACTACCACCACAACTACTAGTCTACCATTACCACTACTACCACCACTACTACTAGTCTTCCATTACCACTACTACTACCACCACTACTACTAGTCTTCCATTACCACCACTACTACCACCACAACTACTAGTCTACCATTACCACTACTATCACCACTACTACTAGTCTTCCATTACCACTACTACTATCACCACTACTACTAGTCTTCCATTACCACTACTACTATCACCACTACTACTAGTCTACCATTACCACTACTACTACCACCACTACTACTAGTCTACCATTACCACTACTACTAACACCACTACTACTAGTCTACCATTACCACTACTACCACCACCACTACTACTAGTCTACCATTACCACTACTACTACCACCACTACTACTAGTCTTCCATTACCACTACTACTATCACCACTACTACTAGTCTACCATTACCACCACTACTACCACCACTACTACTAGTCTACCATTACCACCACTACTACCACCACAACTACTAGTCTACCATTACCACCACTACTACCACCACAACTACTAGTCTACCATTACCACTACTACCACCACTACTACTAGTCTTCCATTACCACTACTACTATCACCACTACTACTAGTCTACCATTACCACTACTACTATCACCACTACTACTAGTCTACCATTACCACTACCACCACCACTACTACTAGTCTACCATTACCACTACTACTACCACCACTACTACTACCACCACTACCACTACCACTACCACCACCACTACTACTAGTCTACCATTACCACTACTACCACCACCACTACTACTAGTCTACCATTACCACTACTACTACCACCACTACTACTAGTCTACCATTACCACTACTACTACCACCACTACTACTACCACCACTACCACTACCACTACCACCACCACTACTACTAGTCTACCATTACCACTACTACCACCACCACTACTACTAGTCTACCATTACCACTACCACCACCACTACTACTAGTCTACCATTACCAATACTACTACCACCACTACTACTAGTCTTCCATTACCACTACTACCACCACCACTACTACTAGTCTACCATTACCACTACTACTACCACCACTACTACTAGTCTACCATTACCACTACTACTACCACCACTACTACTAGTCTACCATTACCACTACTACCACCACCACTACTACTAGTCTACCATTACCACTACTACTACCACCACTACTACTAGTCTACCATTACCACTACTACCACCACCACTACTACTAGTCTACCATTACCACTACTACCACCACTACTGCTAGTCTACTATTACCACTACTACATTACCACAACTACTAGTCTACTATTACCACTACTACTACCACCACTACTGCTAGTCTACCATTACCACTACTACTACCACCACCACTACTAGTCTACCATTACCACTACTACCACCACTACTGCTAGTCTACTATTACCACTACTACATTACCACAACTGCTAGTCTACCATTACCACTACTACTACCACCACTACTACTAGTCTACCATTACCACTACTACATTACCACAACTACTAGTCTACTATTACCACTACTACTACCACCACAACTACTAGTCTTCCATTACCACTACTACTACCACCACTACTACTAGTCTACTATTACCACTACTACATTACCACCACTACTAGTCTACTATTACCACTACTACTACCACCACTACTACTAGTCTTCCATTACCACTACTACTACCACCACTACTACTAGTCTACCATTACCACTACTACTACCACTACTACTACTAGTCTACCATTACCACTACTACTACCACCACTACTACTAGTCTACCATTACCACTACTACTACCACCACTACTGCTAGTCTACTATTACCACTACTACCACCACCACTACAACCACTGTAGTGAAGTGATATTTTTTAAGAAACAATCTAAGATTTTGTAAAACCATGACAAGAGACAGAGTACTGGATATCCATCGCAGCCAGTCTTCACTGTGGAGATGACACATGACTGTTTATGAGTTACAAAATAAACATTCATGGTGGATGATTGATCTCGAGTATTACAATCAAATTAAATCATCCACTTGCATTTGCTGTCAAAAACACTCCAAAATATTTATGAGCTTGCTTCTTTTATGTGGCAAATTATACAGTAATTATCTCAAAGACTGGTAGTTCTTATGGCTGATAAATAATATATAAACTGCAAGGTAAAAATATTATGGGAGGATAAAATTGTTTAAACATTAATACAACAAAACTGAACCCCATCTCTACTGTATCAGAGGAAATAGAAAATTTTGAATTTTACCTTCTTTTTCTTAAAAAAGAAAAAGCGTCTTTCTTTCTGTTGCTTGTCAACCTTGGGCTCATGCTTATGAAGTGACTCGTCCTCTGGGCAGAATTCCAATCTGTTATCAGTGGTTACTGGTTCTTTAATTGTGATACCAATCTGCTCATTGTTGAACCGATGGCCAGGAGGAAGTTTTGGCTGTGAAAGAAATTAATTTAAAATAATCACTGCATGAATAATTCACTGTTTTAAAATGCCAGCAATTGCTTGCAGTTAGCTGGCACACTGATACAATATCCGAGGCACAAATAGATCATTATGGTCTGAGGAGAATAGTGCTGTGAGCAGTGACCAGGAGATCTGGCCGATGCTCAACACTCAAGGAAAAGGTTGAATGTTGAATTAAGGATCGACATCACAGCACTCAGGACACTCCCATAAGTGCTCAGTCGCCATCTTCAGCAGCAAGCGAAGATTTCCAATTCTGATAGTACCAGTAACGGTCTAATTGTATATCCATCTCATCCTTCCCCTGCTTGCTGAGCATCTGCCAGATCCCCTGGTAACTCCTCACAGCGCTATTCTCCTCAGACCGTAATCATCTATCTGCGCCTCCGCACTGTTCACCCATTCCCAAAGGGCCCTCACAATATCTTACTTGTCATACATAAATTCACCATCAAGTGGTGCAGAACCAGCCAGTCTATCTACCTGCCCATTTCCCAACACACCGGCATGGAGAAAATATCCAAAGGATGATAACTACCCGGGACCTCTGAAGTTAATGCATGTCACTCTCCACGAAGCATGCCAGTTTTCACGTTTCTCAACATGCTCTGTGAGTCAGTTACAATCTTCAAGGGAAATGTGAGACGGATGTGTAATCAGACTGTTACTGGCATCATGTAGATTTGGAACTCTGCACCTGCTGTTGAAAATGGGGACACAGCCCTTATGGGAATGTCCTGAGTGCAGTGATGTCGATTCGTGATTCAACAGATAACCTACACAGATGCTACAGCAGCAATTTAGTCATCATAATAATGATCTTTGGTGTCCTTCAGGATCACAGAATTGTAAGTGGGTTTGGTTGATTTAGAGAAGATACTTGCCAAAGCTGATGTGCTTTTTATTGCTTATAGCTTGTGCAGTAATTTGAATGCTCATGAGATGATATAATAATCTAGGAATTGTAATTTTATTATTTTTTTTAATGCACAATTAACAGAATTCTGAACAAAAAAGCAAACTAAGTTTGAAAACGATAAAAGGGTGTGTGAAACATATGTCCATGCTGTTAGAGACTGTCATGATATATTTATCACGATCAACATCACTGCACATCAGACACTGTCAATTTTGCTTTGTTATTTAAGCAAGCAGCATAATATAACAAAGTTATTTACTGGAGTGCAAGACAAGACCAGTAGCAACTTCTGTTACTATTATTCATATGTTGTGTTTTCAAACAAAACTATTCATTATCATTATCAGCGCTTTGTTCTGCTTAGCTGCAGATCTTCTGATCTCATGGCACAAAGATTTTATCAACTACTATGTTCTGAGATGAAAGATGACATGCATATGATACGTATGACTCATTCCATCCATTTATGCAATATTTATTACACATTTTTTAGTATCTAAAATTTGTTCCCATTTCCAATGAAAGCTTTCTGTCCGATACATCTTTTTGGCCATTAGTAAGTGTGATTTTGTAAAGTAACCCTGTCCACTTATTCATAATGTTGCAAGAATTATAGAATATGATGGCACAATTTATTTTATAAATAAAATTGATAAAGAAATATAAGATAAGAAAAGAAAGTATTAGTAACTGAGATACAGCACTTTTTCAGTCATTGCCTTTAGTATTTGTTCACAGTATCTTAGTAACATAACTCCATGCAACTTCAAGGAAACTACTCATTTCCAAACGGAAAAAAAAAATACTGCAAGTACTGTTTGAAGTGCCAGTAGCTTCAACAACTACAACAACAACAATCTGTGCAATCTTCACAGTGAGACAATTGAAAATGGCCGGAGTGATGTTAACCACATTGCCCGATCCAGTGCTGACTGGTCTACAAACATGAGTCTTGCATTATATGCATAATTGGTGGCATGGTAAGGATCACTCCCCCCCCCCCCCCCCCCACGATTTTTTTTAAAACCTACTCAACAATGAAAGCTGGCTACAGTAACTGATTTCTTGAATGATAAATTCTCTTTCAGGTATTTATTTGTGTGTACCTTATTTCTGTAAATATTTTGTTTTAAGAAACCCCATAGATAATAATTTAATGGAGTTAGATCCAGAGAAGAAGCAGCCCAAAATCCACATGATATTTGCAATTTGTAAACAATTCTTCCTAAACAAAAACATGTTGATGCTCCAGATGTGTGTGCAGTTTAACCATTTTGTAACACTTGTTCAACCAAAAAGAGTTCTTTCTTCCGTTGATAACACTATTCTGTTTTGAGTGCAAAGAGTTAATGCCAGAAAAAGACAGCCATTCACTGCACAATGCTTCACATTTGACTGCCGATCATATTTATTGATAACATCATATACTTTTTTTGAAAATCTGTTCTACATACAAAGTGTAATGCGACTTTAAAAACACCCTGTAAAATAAGACATCAGTTGAGCAGAACTGTTATAATGCTTCAAATCAGGAGGTGCAGTAGCTAGCATGCATCCTGGATGGTCATGGGTGTCAATCCTCCTGTAATGGATATTTTAAAATTTGACTTGGGTTTCAAGAAAGACCCAGTTTGAATTGAGTACCAAAATAGATTAGCACAAGTAAAGGTAGCAGCTTTATACTTACAACCTCACCCACTCAGTGCTGATCAGTGCCAAATACTTCCAAAGACATGGAAATGTTTCCTTCATTTACTTTAATTTATATGATAACATTGTAAATAAAAAATATTCTCACTTTTAAATAGGATGTGATGATCAGTATGATTTCTGGATATTCCTTCCTTTTGGCAACATCAATTGCTTTTTCATGTTGCTAATTTAGGAAAAAGAAAGAAAACAAGTGCTTTAATAAGAATGTTAAAGTTAACATAATTTTCAATTGTTATTATTCATAATCCAACAAAGGGCTATCCTCCAAATAACGGGCACAAAAGATGGCGGCCGCAAAATATCCTTAAGAGCCTCAGTTGCGTGTCAATTGCGCACTCCCGGCGACTTAATTTGAGGTTTTCACACGGCGTGGATTGGGGCTAAACTAGATGGCTAGGACTCACGAGCAAAACTGCGGGAGATGCGGAAGCTGCTGCTCGTGAGTCCTAGCCATCTAGCTTAGCCCCAATCCTCGCTGCGCGAATGGCGTGGGGGACTCATGGCTGTAGTCGCCGGAAAATCGCAAATTAAGTCGCCGGAAGTGCGCAATTGACACGTGACTGAGGCTCGTTAGGATATTTTGCGGCCGCCATCTTTTGTGCCCGTTATTCGGAGGATAGCCCAATAATGTGATCAATACCAAATAACAAGTAAACAATATTTATTGCTTTCTTAATTGAAAGACTGAAAACATAAATCTAAACAATGTAGTTAATGTTGACATCATGCTGAATAATCCTGTACCTATTCTATACTGATATATCCTTGATAAACAATTTCTTTATTAATTTCACTTTATCACTTATACTTACTTTATTGTCTAGTTCTGTATCTATGCCAGACTCTACTAAGATCTTTGCTATCTTCCTGCGTTTGAGTGCAGCAGCAATATGCAGCGCTGTGTCTCCATTCTGTGAATCATAAATATTTATATAGTTACCACATCTGACTAATGAGGCAATAATTCCAAAGATAAAGATACACTGAATCTAATCAAGAAACAACTTTACACTGTAGGCAAACACGTCAGATTTTTTCCATGAATGCTAACCATGTGTGTTAATTTGGTCAGGATTTTGTCATTTTAGAAGAGATAAATCAATCAGTAGCCATCTCCACAGTGAAGGTTGGCTACAATGGATCCTCAACACTCTCTGTCTCCCACCCTGGTTGTACACTGTCTCCCACCCTGGTTGTACACTGTCTCCCACCCTGGTTGTACACTCCCTGTCTCTCACCCTGGTTGTACACTGTCTCCCACCCTGGTTGTACACTCTCTGTCTTCCACCCTGGTTGTACTCTCTGTCTCCCACCCTGGTTGTACTCTCTGTCTCCCACCCTGGTTGTACACTCTCTGTCTCTCACCCTGGTTGTACACTGTCTGTCTCCCACCCTGGTTGTACACTCTCTGTCTCCCACCCTGGTTGTACACTGTCTCCCACCCTGGTTGTACACTGTCTCCCACCCTGGTTGTACACTCCCTGTCTCTCACCCTGGTTGTACACTGTCTCCCACCCTGGTTGTACACTCTCTGTCTCTCACCCTGGTTGTACACTCTCTGTCTCCCACCCTGGTTGTACACTCTGTCTCTCACCCTGGTTGTACACTGTCTCCCACCCTGGTTGTACACTGTCTCCCACCCTGGTTGTACACTCTCTGTCTCTCACCCTGGTTGTACACTCTCTGTCTCCCACCCTGGTTGTACACTCTCTGTCTCCCACCCTGGTTGTACTCTCTGTCTCCCACCCTGGTTGTACACTCTCTGTCTCCCACCCTGGTTGTACACTGTCTCCCACCCTGGTTGTACACTGTCTCTCACCCTGGTTGTACACTCTCTGTCTCCCACCCTGGTTGTACACTGTCTCCCACCCTGGTTGTACACTCTCTGTCTCTCACCCTGGTTGTACACTGTCTCCCACCCTGGTTGTACACTCTCTGTCTCTCACCCTGGTTGTACACTCTCTGTCTCCCACCCTGGTTGTACACTCTCTGTCTCCCACCCTGGTTGTACACTCTCTGTCTCCCACCCTGGTTGTACACTCTGTCTCCCACCCTGGTTGTACACTCTGTCTCCCACCCTGGTTGTACACACTCTGTCTCCCACCCTGGTTGTACACTCTCTGTCTCCTACCCTGGTTGTACACTCTCTGTCTCCCACCCTGGTTGTACTCTCTGTCTCCCACCCTGGTTGTACACACTCTGTCTCCCACCCTGGTTGTACACACACTGTCTCTCACCCTGGTTGTACACTCTCTGTCTCCCACCCTGGTTGTACACTCTCTGTCTCCCACCCTGGTTGTACTCTCTGTCTCCCACCCTGGTTGTACTCTCTGTCTCCCACCCTGGTTGTACACTCTCTGTCTCTCACCCTAGTTGTACACTCTCTGTCTCCCACCCTGGTTGTACACTCTCTGTCTCCCACCCTGGTTGTACACTGTCTCCCACCCTGGTTGTACACTGTCTCCCACCCTGGTTGTACACTCTCTGTCTCTCACCCTGGTTGTACACTCTCTGTCTCTCACCCTGGTTGTACACTCTCTGTCTCCCACCCTGGTTGTACACTCTGTCTCTCACCCTGGTTGTACACTGTCTCCCACCGTGGTTGTACACTGTCTCCCACCCTGGTTGTACACTCTCTGTCTCTCACCCTGGTTGTACACTCTCTGTCTCCCACCCTGGTTGTACACTCTCTGTCTCTCACCCTGGTTGTACACTCTCTGTCTCCCACCCTGGTTGTACACTCTCTGTCTCCAACCCTGGTTGTACACTGTCTCCCACCCTGGTTGTACACTGTCTCCCACCCTGGTTGTACACTCTCTGTCTCTCACCCTGGTTGTACACTGTCTCCCACCCTGGTTGTACACTCTCTGTCTCTCACCCTGGTTGTACACTCTCTGTCTCCCACCCTGGTTGTACACTCTCTGTCTCTCACCCTGGTTGTACACTCTCTGTCTCCCACCCTGGTTGTACACTGTCTCCCACCCTGGTTGTTCACTGTCTCCCACCCTGGTTGTACACTCTCTGTCTCTCACCCTGGTTGTACACTGTCTCCCACCCTGGTTGTACACTCTCTGTCTCTCACCCTGGTTGTACACTCTCTGTCTCCCACCCTGGTTGTACACTCTCTGTCTCTCACCCTAGTTGTACACTCTCTGTCTCCCACCCTGGTTGTACACTCTGTCACCCACCCTGGTTGTACACTCTGTCTCCCACCCTGGTTGTACACACTCTGTCTCCCACCCTGGTTGTACACTCTCTGTCTCCCACCCTGGTTGTACACTCTGTCTCCCACCCTGGTTGTACACACTCTGTCTCCCACCCTGGTTGTACACACTCTGTCTCTCACCCTGGTTGTACACTCTCTGTCTCCCACCCTGGTTGTACACTCTCTGTCTCCCACCCTGGTTGTACTCACTGTCTCCCACCCTGGTTGTACTCTCTGTCTCCCACCCTGGTTGTACACTCTCTGTCTCTCACCCTGGTTGTACACTGTCTGTCTCCCACCCTGGTTGTACACTCTCTGTCTCCCACCCTGGTTGTACACTGTCTCCCACCCTGGTTGTACACTGTCTCCCACCCTGGTTGTACACTCTCTGTCTCTCACCCTGGTTGTACACTCTCTGTCTCTCACCCTGGTTGTACACTCTCTGTCTCCCACCCTGGTTGTACACTCTCTGTCTCTCACCCTGGTTGTACACTCTCTGTCTCCCACCCTGGTTGTACACTCTCTGTCTCCCACCCTGGTTGTACACTGTCTCCCACCCTGGTTGTACACTGTCTCCCACCCTGGTTGTACACTCTCTGTCTCCCACCCTGGTTGTACACTGTCTCCCACCCTGGTTGTACACTCTCTGTCTCTCACCCTGGTTGTACACTCTCTGTCTCCCACCCTGGTTGTACACTATCTCCCACCCTGGTTGTACACTCTCTGTCTCTCACCCTAGTTGTACACTCTCTGTCTCCCACCCTGGTTGTACACTCTGTCTCCCACCCTGGTTGTACACTCTGTCTCCCACCCTGGTTGTACACACTCTGTCTCCCACCCTGGTTGTACACTCTCTGTCTCTCACCCTGGTTGTACACTCTGTCTCCCACCCTGGTTGTACACTCTCTGTCTTCCACCCTGGTTGTACACTCTCTGTCTCTCACCCTGGTTGTACACTCTCTGTCTCTCACCCTGGTTGTACACTGTCTCCCACCCTGGTTGTACACTCTCTGTCTCCCATCCTGGTTGTACACTCTCTGTCTCCCACCCTGGTTGTACACTCTCTGTCTCCCACCCTGGTTGTACACTCTCTGTCTCCCACCCTGGTTGTACACTCTCTGTCTCCCACCCTGGTTGTACACTCTGTCTCCCACCCTGGTTGTACACTCTCTGTCTCCCACCCTGGTTGTACACTCCCTGTCTCTCACCCTGGTTGTACACTGTCTCCCACCCTGGTTGTACACTCTCTGTCTCTCACCCTGGTTGTACACTCTCTGTCTCCCACCCTGGTTGTACACTCTGTCTCTCACCCTGGTTGTACACTGTCTCCCACCCTGGTTGTACACTGTCTCCCACCCTGGTTGTACACTCTCTGTCTCTCACCCTGGTTGTACACTCTCTGTCTCCCACCCTGGGTTGTACACTCTCTGTCTCCCACCCTGGTTGTACTCTCTGTCTCCCACCCTGGTTGTACACTCTCTGTCTCCCACCCTGGTTGTACACTGTCTCCCACCCTGGTTGTACACTGTCTCTCACCCTGGTTGTACACTCTCTGTCTCCCACCCTGGTTGTACACTGTCTCCCACCCTGGTTGTACACTCTCTGTCTCTCACCCTGGTTGTACACTGTCTCCCACCCTGGTTGTACACTCTCTGTCTCTCACCCTGGTTGTACACTCTCTGTCTCCCACCCTGGTTGTACACTCTCTGTCTCCCACCCTGGTTGTACACTCTGTCTCCCACCCTGGTTGTACACTCTGTCTCCCACCCTGGTTGTACACACTCTGTCTCCCACCCTGGTTGTACACTCTCTGTCTCCTACCCTGGTTGTACACTCTCTGTCTCCCACCCTGGTTGTACTCTCTGTCTCCCACCCTGGTTGTACACACTCTGTCTCCCACCCTGGTTGTACACACACTGTCTCTCACCCTGGTTGTACACTCTCTGTCTCCCACCCTGGTTGTACACTCTCTGTCTCCCACCCTGGTTGTACTCTCTGTCTCCCACCCTGGTTGTACTCTCTGTCTCCCACCCTGGTTGTACACTCTCTGTCTCTCACCCTAGTTGTACACTCTCTGTCTCCCACCCTGGTTGTACACTCTCTGTCTCCCACCCTGGTTGTACACTGTCTCCCACCCTGGTTGTACACTGTCTCCCACCCTGGTTGTACACTCTCTGTCTCTCACCCTGGTTGTACACTCTCTGTCTCTCACCCTGGTTGTACACTCTCTGTCTCCCACCCTGGTTGTACACTCTCTGTCTCTCACCCTGGTTGTACACTGTCTCCCACCGTGGTTGTACACTGTCTCCCACCCTGGTTGTACACTCTCTGTCTCTCACCCTGGTTGTACACTCTCTGTCTCCCACCCTGGTTGTACACTCTCTGTCTCTCACCCTGGTTGTACACTCTCTGTCTCCCACCCTGGTTGTACACTCTCTGTCTCCCACCCTGGTTGTACACTGTCTCCCACCCTGGTTGTACACTGTCTCCCACCCTGGTTGTACACTCTCTGTCTCTCACCCTGGTTGTACACTGTCTCCCACCCTGGTTGTACACTCTCTGTCTCTCACCCTGGTTGTACACTCTCTGTCTCCCACCCTGGTTGTACACTCTCTGTCTCTCACCCTGGTTGTACACTCTCTGTCTCCCACCCTGGTTGTACACTGTCTCCCACCCTGGTTGTTCACTGTCTCCCACCCTGGTTGTACACTCTCTGTCTCTCACCCTGGTTGTACACTGTCTCCCACCCTGGTTGTACACTCTCTGTCTCTCACCCTGGTTGTACACTCTCTGTCTCCCACCCTGGTTGTACACTCTCTGTCTCTCACCCTAGTTGTACACTCTCTGTCTCCCACCCTGGTTGTACACTCTGTCACCCACCCTGGTTTGTACACTCTGTCTCCCACCCTGGTTGTACACACTCTGTCTCCCACCCTGGTTGTACACTCTCTGTCTCCCACCCTGGTTGTACTCTCTGTCTCCCACCCTGGTTGTACACACTCTGTCTCCCACCCTGGTTGTACACACTCTGTCTCTCACCCTGGTTGTACACTCTCTGTCTCCCACCCTGGTTGTACACTCTCTGTCTCCCACCCTGGTTGTACTCACTGTCTCCCACCCTGGTTGTACTCTCTGTCTCCCACCCTGGTTGTACACTCTCTGTCTCTCACCCTGGTTGTACACTGTCTGTCTCCCACCCTGGTTGTACACTCTCTGTCTCCCACCCTGGTTGTACACTGTCTCCCACCCTGGTTGTACACTGTCTCCCACCCTGGTTGTACACTCTCTGTCTCTCACCCTGGTTGTACACTCTCTGTCTCTCACCCTGGTTGTACACTCTCTGTCTCCCACCCTGGTTGTACACTCTCTGTCTCTCACCCTGGTTGTACACTGTCTCCCACCGTGGTTGTACACTGTCTCCCACCCTGGTTGTACACTCCCTGTCTCTCACCCTGGTTGTACACTCTCTGTCTCCCACCCTGGTTGTACACTCTCTGTCTCTCACCCTGGTTGTACACTCTCTGTCTCCCACCCTGGTTGTACACTCTCTGTCTCCCACCCTGGTTGTACACTGTCTCCCACCCTGGTTGTACACTGTCTCCCACCCTGGTTGTACACTCTCTGTCTCTCACCCTGGTTGTACACTGTCTCCCACCCTGGTTGTACACTCTCTGTCTCTCACCCTGGTTGTACACTCTCTGTCTCCCACCCTGGTTGTACACTATCTCCCACCCTGGTTGTACACTCTCTGTCTCTCACCCTAGTTGTACACTCTCTGTCTCCCACCCTGGTTGTACACTCTGTCTCCCACCCTGGTTGTACACTCTGTCTCCCACCCTGGTTGTACACACTCTGTCTCCCACCCTGGTTGTACACTCTTTGTCTCTCACCCTGGTTGTACACTCTGTCTCCCACCCTGGTTGTACACTCTCTGTCTTCCACCCTGGTTGTACACTCTCTGTCTCTCACCCTGGTTGTACACTCTCTGTCTCTCACCCTGGGTTGTACACTGTCTCCCACCCTGGTTGTACACTCTCTGTCTCCCATCCTGGTTGTACACTCTCTGTCTCCCACCCTGGTTGTACACTCTCTGTCTCCCACCCTGGTTGTACACTCTCTGTCTCCCACCCTGGTTGTACACTCTCTGTCTCCCACCCTGGTTGTACACTCTCTGTCTCCCACCCTGGTTGTACACTCTGTCTCCCACCCTGGTTGTACACTCTCTGTCTCCCACCCTGGTTGTACACTCTCTGTTTCTCACCCTGGTTGTACACTCTCTGTTTCTCACCCTGGTTGTACACTCTCTGTTTCTCACCCTGGTTGTACACTCTCTGTTTCTCACCCTGGTTGTACACTCTCTGTCTCCCATCCTGGTTGTACACTCTTTGTCTCCCACCCTGGTTGTACACTCTCTGTCTCCCACCCTGATTGTACACTCTCTGTTTCTCACCCTGGTTGTACACTCTCTGTCTCCCACCCTGGTTGTACACTCTTTGTCCCTCACCCTGGTTGTACACTCTCTGTCTCTCACCCTGGTCGTACACTCTGTCTCTCACCCTGGTTGTACACTTTCTATCTCCCACCCTGATTGTATACTCTGTCTCTCACCCTGGTTGTACACTCTCTGTCTCTCACCCTGGTTGTACACTTTCTATCTCCCACCCTGATTGTATACTCTGTCTCCCACCCTGGTTGTACACTCTCTGTCTCCCACCCTGGTTGTACACTCTCTGTCTCCCACCCTGGTTGTACACTCTTTGTCTCCCACCCTGGTTGTACACTCTCTGTCTCTCACCCTGGTTGTACACTGTCTCCCACCCTGGTTGTACACTCTTTGTCTCCCACCCTGGTTGTACACTCTGTCTCTCACCCTGGTTGTACACTCTCTGTTTCTCACCCTGGTTGTACACTCTCTGTCTCCCACCCTGGTTGTACACTCTCTGTCTCCCACCCTGGTTGTACACTCTTTGTCTCCCACCCTGGTTGTACACTCTCTGTCTCTCACCCTGGTTGTACACTTTCTATCTCCCACCCTGATTGTATACTCTGTCTCCCACCCTGGTTGTACACTCTCTGTCTCCCATCCTGGTTGTACACTCCCTTTGACTCTGTCCTTCTCTTTGTATCATTATCTACTTTTTGCTTGCATGCTTTTATCTTTTGTCCTATCTAGGCTGAAAAAAAATCAGCTGCATTTGTGTTCTGGGACATTCTAGTGTAAAGGGCAATGAACGAGCTGAATGCTGAATGTTGAACAAAGAATCAATATCACAGCACTCAGGACACTCCCATAAGTGCCCCGTCCCTAAATTCAGCAGTAAGCCAAGAGTTCCAATTCCGATGGCACCAGGAAATGTTTGATTGTATATCTGTCTTATCCTTCCCCGGAGTGTTGAGCATCAGCCAGATCCCCTGGTAACACCTCGTAGCCTTATTATCGTCAGACCATAATGATCTATCTGCGTCTCTGCACTGTTTATTCATTCCCAAAGGGCCATCACAATATCTGACAATTTTCAGATCTACAAAATTATGATTCTGTGTGATGATGGTCTAAATATTCCTTTGTAACCCTTTGAAAATAAAGTCCGTTCGTTCGTTTGTTCTGGAATAAGATATAATGTACAGATGTGTTTATGTTTTATTTATACATAACTATGTGGTTTACTTTCACTTGTAAATTATTTTGGTTATAATTTATTGAGTATCTCTTGAGCGTCATATGACAATGGTAAATGGAAAAGGTTTACTTTAAGTGCAGTGCATGAACTCAGTAGCACTGGCGAGGATCCTGAAATACTTTGGGTACATTTTGAACTCCGAATTTAGCCAGGGCTGCGCGGTTAGGCTACTCTTTTTCAAATTCCAACTGCCAAGGTATATTTTTTTTTTACAAACGCAACAATGCAAACGGGTGTCCAGTCTTACTACCCAGGGACCAGGGGAAATTTTTTAGTAGTCCACGTGAAAAATCCCAGCCTTCACCAGATTTGAACCCGGAACCTCTAGCACTCGAGGTGGATGCCATCTCGAGACCACTTAGCTCCCCTTAATAAACATAAATATAGTAGTGGAAAGCCTGGAAGATGATTCAATGGCAAACCAAAATGGTGTTTAAAAAAAAAAAAAAAGACAAAGCTGAGGAAACGGCAAAGGATTAACAGACTTTCCTGCTGAGATGAGTGGTATTCTATAAAGGACTATTATATAAAGAGAAGCAACTTCTTCTTCTTCAGCATTATGAGCTCTTCAAATATTACCTTCGATTCATCTCTCTGGTTGGTCTTCTCTTTCCAGTTGGTGACACTAAGTGTTTGCAGGTCTGTCTGGATGTTATCTCTCCATCATCTTCTTGGTCTGCCTCGTGGTCTACGGCCATTCATCTCATTTGTGTATACAGTTTTTACTTCTCTGTCATCTGACATTCTTTCAATATGCCCCAACCTTTTCTTCTTCTTCTTCTTCGCCTTCACCAGCTGTACACTCTAGCAGAAAGTTCTGGTTGCTCGTCCACTAGTGAACTGCAGTCCTGCTTCAGAACCTAAGTGTTGCGTGTGCATCAGTTTTACAGATCTCATTCTCTTGAATACAGACTGTTGGTTCCTTGCCTCTCCGGCAGATGCACTCCGATTTCAAAATAAGCTCCCCAATTAGTTGACTCTTACGACATGCTTTTGGGGAGGCAGTGAGTCTATTCTTGTTTTCCCCATAATGGGGCCCCGGAACCCACACGGGGGCCAAACCATTTCAGTCTATTAGCTCTCATGATGCCAGTGATCAGTGGTGATTCAAACATATTATAAATTTCGCTGTTGCTTCTCACTCTCTATTCACCGCTGTGTGCGTGAAAGAAGAATAAACTAAACAGAAAATAAGAATTTATTCAACAGTCCACTATACAAGCATTACAAATTGGAGAAATGCACATGTAACATTATAAGATTTGTTATACAATTATTTAAGGGTAAAGACTTGTAATTAAAACTGCATTATTTAAGATATCAGGAACGAGTTTAAGTTTACTCAGGAGCCAACATTTTGAAAATAGGGATCATGAGCCAGTGGCCTGAGCCCCAAAATATAAACATCCCTTATGTAATACAACTGGCAATGATACGCAGGCCATTTGCTAGGCCTCAGTGGGCCACCAGTTGAATAGGCCTGCTTAAATGTTTCAATTAACCCCATTTACATTCAATCATTATGTGAAAACAATTGATTTCACCTTATTTTGTTCACTGATTTTACAGCGAGCACTGATCAGAATTCTGGTTACTCCAGCATGCCCATATCTTGCAGCAGTGTGTAAAGCAGTATCCCCATACTGTGGAGAGAAAGAAAACAGTTCACTGGAGCATAAAAACTTATTTTTATAATAAATTCACAACGGTCACTACTTACAAACTTTTTATTAACATTAACTGTCTGATTGCTTTTAAATATGTGATATATGCTTTTCTTGCTCTTCTTTTCTAAAAAAGACATTACTTGTGTTGCCCTTGTAAAGAAATTCTTAAACTGGCCTATCTATCTTTAACAGGACATTTTATAAAATGATGTGTGCCTGTTCTAACAACACCTACTAAAACATATATGTTGTAGGCCTGTTTTTAATGTTCAAATGTTTTCAGTATATATGGTCTATATAGTTTCATCTATAAAATTTTAATATGAGCAGTGCAGTAATAGTAATTTAATTAACTACATCCTGTGAAACCCTTATTAAGAAAAGAGAAGTACAGTAGAACCTCGCTTAATGAGCACCTCTCATAACGAGTAATTCGCATAACGAGCAAAACAAATTTTAAAAGAATGACTTGCTTAATGAGTGACGTTTCGCATAGCGAGTGGCGAGGAGAGGGGAAGTCTCTGATTGTGCGCTTGTTACATCAGTCTGTGTTTAGCACTCGTTCCAGTAGCATCATGGTGTCGCTTGTGATCACACATTTGTTCAAACTTGTGTTATATGTGATATATGAACATGAATCCTCCAGGCCTACAAGATGACCTCCCTGAAGAATTCAAGTTCATCAAGATCCAGTTTCTGCCTCCCAACACCGTTCCGTTACTCCAGCCCATAGACCAGCAAGTTATTTCTTACTTTAAGAAGCTCTATACACTTAAGCACTCTTCGAGCATTGTTTTCAGGTGAATGAAGGGATCAACCTCAGTCTCAAAGAGTTTTGGAAAAATCACTTCCACATCATTGCCTGTCTCAAGATGAACGACAAGGGGAAGGGGTTACCAAGAGAGCCCTAACTTCTGCTTGGAAGAAGCTTTGGCCCGAGAGCATTGTCGATTTGGGACACTTCCATGAGGTACAAGGTGGAAGAGAAGAAGAAGTAGAAGGGATACTGAAGTCATCAAATCTGTCATTGAAATTATTCTGAAGCTTTTTTAAATAATTATATAGATATATCGGTTAAGGTTGCAGAGTCCAGTGTTGAAAAAATAAAATAGCAAGCATGGTTTTAAATTAGGCATAATTGGTGATATAAATCAATATTTCAGTGTCCAATCATGCACAGATCCCTGAAAAACATTTCCTATTGACACATTCGACACAACTGATTTTTGAAGATTTATACAGAAACATTGATTGTTTTTCTTTTTTTCTTTTTAATAACTACATTTCACTAGTTTGGCACTGATTGGCGGGCCACTTGCCAGGCCTCAGCAGGTCAGATTTTGCCTGTGTGCCACCAGCTGAATAGCCCTGTCCTAGTGCATCGAACCAGATCAGATAGGCAAGACATGTCACTGAAATAATGGAGTGGTGTGAACAGACTGAGTCAAGGTGAACCCTCATAGATAAAAAGCTGGGTCAGGACATGGAATAATGTACCTTATGGTTCTGTTCATCCGGTAAAAGATCTGGCTGGGGATTTTCAGCTAGAGTGAAGGGAAAAATTGTGGCAGAACAAAATAGTGCTTTTTCATCTACAAATTCAAGCATGAGTATGGAGGTGGAGGCAAGCACTGCAGCCTTGAAGGGTTTGATGCCTATGACTATGATGAATATAAAGGATTTTCAGTTGCCTTTTTTGCAACAATTTACAGCCACATGATAATGATTATTATTTCAGACAAAGTAAACCACTTTTATTTTTCTTCAAATGTGTTCTCCGTTCAATTTTGTGCAAAAATACGAAATATGATAAATGTTTGTTGAATATTTTTTGAAGATATGACATTTTTATTAGTCTATATAAAAAGATTTTTCAGTTGCCTTTCTTTGCACCAATCTACAGCCACATGATGATGATGCAAAACAGAATAAACGTCTTTTTTTTCATTGAAATTTGTTCTTCATCCAATTTGGTGCAAAAATACAAAATATTGTGAGATTATATCAAATAGTTGTGAAGCTTTGGCTTTTTTAGTAAACACTAAAATATGTGGTATCTGGGGAAATGCAAGCGTTAATTAGTTTGGTAGTCAGTGGCTTAAAAGAAATAACATGTATAAGAGTGTGTGAATGTAGAAATCAGATGTAGATCTAACAAGGGGCGAGTACGAGGGGAAGCAAATGCCCTTTGTATAATGAGTGAGGGTACGATCAGCATCAATATTTTGAGAATTTGCTGCAGGAGATGGAGCACCTATGTGTATGCCTGGTGTGCTTTAATGTTGATACTTAAATCTGTAATCAGCATTCTGCACAAAGTTCAATGCACTAGAAATGAACCAAATTTTGTGTAAACCTGAATCACATAAGCCGTTAAATATTCATTTCTGAGTAGGTTTCTAATTTGAAATGTTTTCCCCAACAGTAGAATATTTGACATTTCAATCTGCAACTGCTGTCCTCACAAATTTAAATTTTCACTCTTTCTCAAGAAGTCTAGACATCCAATCCACTATTGCACGATCAAGGAGTACACCATACTTTTTCATTTTGTAACAATCCTATGTCCTCCACAGCTGACACACTGTACCTGGTCTGACTGAATTAAAACAGAACACTGTACCTCCAAGTCACTCTATACCTTCCATTCAAGCATCACAAGGATACATGTACCCCTGAAAACAGTCAATGCATATAACTGTTTTCCCTAATATCACCAAAGAAACGTACATTGTTTTTGATGTCTGGATTACAGCCTGCATACAGTAAAACTCTGGAGCATTCATTGTGTCCATTCTGAGCAGCCAGATGAAGTGCTGTAAAACCAGCCTAATAGGATAAAATATAAACAACCTATTACCGCTTGTCTCATCATGTAATGTTAAAAAAATCTTAAATTAAATAATCTTAAAATGTCCTACATGTAAACTTTAGAATACATCAAAAGCCTCTTAAATAATATATAACAAGAATTGGCTGGCTGAGTTTAGTGACTGGGAAATGTTCCAGATAACTGAGTTTTTTTAACAGTTGTCTGATACATTAGCATTTAGATCATCTGGTTTCTGAAAGCCCCTTGAGAACTCTATTAGTGTCAACTCAAGGTGGACTGTGCAGCAGATTTCTCTCGTCAACCAGTACCCAGGTGCCATCTCCATGTGGATGTCGTAGCAGAGTTCCCGACCCAGCCAGTACCCAAGTGCCATCTCCATGTGGATGTCATAGAAAAGTTCTCACCTCAACCAGTACTTAACTGCCATCTCCAGACATACGGTATGTGGCACGCTCGGTGACTTTGGAATGTCTTTCCTCAACCTACTTTTTTCTATGTATTTCGACTACCAGAACAAATCTATTTAATTCTCCTGGACTGCTGATGTAAAGTGTTAAGGTACAGATAAGACTGAGCAGGTAGACCTAGTGGCACCAGTGAAAGTGAAAGCTCCTACTTAGTGTCTGGAGTTTTTGCTTGCAGAAGTGAGGTGTCAGATAATTATCTCCTAGCCAGACCTTTAGGAGCAGATAACCCAGGCTAATTGTTATTATCTCCCACTGAGGTTACCCAACATGAGTGCAGGTCAGATCGCCATTACTGACATGGTCTGGTGGAGGTGTTAGTAGACAGAATCTGGCAGGTTGAAGAAGGGGGAAAAGGTGTGACTTTGCTTATGAGCTCTGGCCGGCTTGATGGACCAAGAGAATGTAACCGTGGGAATGCAAACAAGTGTTGTACAGTCCTGACTGACAGTGAATAGATTTACCCACAGGGAGGAGCTGTGACATCCTTGAATGAGAGTGGTTTTAGGAGTAATGTAGGAGGAGCTTAAAAGAAGTTATAAAAGGGTGGACTCTAGGGCTGGGAAGGGAGACTCTGCCATCAGCACACCATCTGTTGGGCTTAAACCCTAAGCTTGAGATAGAACTTTTGGCATTGTGTTTTCATTTTCCAGTTCCCACATTAGGCAGGGACTAGTAGGCATCCATTCTTTGCCTACCGTCTGCGTGTAAAGACCTGCTTGAAGCAGCGAGGACGACAAACTGGAATAGGATAGGCAGGGTCTCAAACTGAGAACTGTCCAAGGTTTATTTTCTCCAATTTTATAAGTTATGTATAACTTTCATATGAATTAATTTCATCAGTAACACCATCTTCACTCTACTAGCCTAAACAAGTTCATTTTATTTTTGGTTAGATTTTTAAAATAAAATCTTGTTCATGTTGTTATTTTTTTTTTTTTTTTTTTTTTTTTTTTTTTTTTTTACGTATCCAGAAACCATGAGTTGTAAACTCTTTGGCTCGGTACTATGGATATCGCAACCCTTCGGCATTGATTCCATTACAGGTACCGTTAATCTGGGAGAAATGTGGCTTTTCTGCCTACCCCCTGGAGTGAACCCGGACCACAAGGAGTTCGTCACCCGGCCGCCGCGAAAGTCAGGTTTAACCAACTTCGCTAGAGAGCCGGGCATTCATGTTGTTATAAAATAGTTGGGTAAACTGTGTACTTAGGTTCAAGTGTCTTTGTGCATACTAGTTTACTTCAGCTCACAATTATGTAAATCACTTGATAGGGGCTTTTGTTACAAATTAATATCAGGAGAGGAGAAAGTCGGAGGGGTTAACTGTGTATTTTGATATTATCTCATTGGGTTCATCTTGATATCTATCTATCCCTTCTCCTATTCTTGTGGATACTTTCATTTGATGAAACGAGCCACTTGCTGTTTTCTTGGTTATCCAGGACTTCTAGCTTGGATATTAGTCCAGTTTCTCGTTTGGGTGGGCACTGTTGGGGTTCAAACCCACACACTCACTATATAAGTGTATTTACCCACAGGGGTTGGGGAAAATTAAGGCGCTCTCCGGGATTACAACCTGACATGACACTCCCTAACCAGTACCCAAGTGCCATCTTTAGACAGAGGGTGTAGCAAAGTTCTTGGCCCAGCCAGTACCCAAGTGCCATCTCCAGACAGATGGTGTAGCAAAGATCTCTCCCAAACCAGTACCCAAGTGCCATCTCCAGACAGATGGTGTAGCATAGATCTCTTCCCAACCAGTACCCAAGTGCCATCTCCAGACAGACAATGTAGCAGAGTTCCCGACCCAGCCAGTACCCAAGTGCCATCTCCCTGTGGACAGTATAACAGAGTTCTCACTGCAGCCACTATCCAAGTACCAACTCCAGGTGTACAGTGTAGCAGAGTTCTCCTTCCTCTCTTCAAGTCCACAAATTAGCATAGTGAGCAAAGACTTTAAAGAGATATATTAACCCTTTTGCCCCATAAAAATTTCAAAACACAATATTTTTCAAAATTATGTCACTGAGATATGCATCATTATAAGTTTCTAAAAATCTACCGTAAGAAGGTAGAGGATAAGAAGAGGTAGAAGAAATCTGATCTGTTTTTATAAAAATCCAGAGGGTTCTTCCTTTTTTGTGTTCACCAGCAGTAAGCTCCAGTGAAAAGTTCTGATTGTCCATTACTGAGCTTTGGTCTCATTCCCTGAGTCGTGTGTGCACATCCATTATTGGGCTTTCGTCTCATTCCCGAGTTGTGTGTGCACATCCATTATTGTGCTTTGGTCTCATTCCCTATTTTGTGTGTGCACATCCATTATTGGGCTTTCGTCTCATTCCCGAGTTGTGTGTGCACATCTATTATTGTGCTTTGGTCTCATTCCCTGAGTTGTGTGTGTACATCCATTATTGGGCTTTGGTCTCATTCCTTGAGTTGTGTGTGTACATCCATTATTGGGCTTTATCTCATTCCTTGAGTTGTGTGTGTACATCCATTATTGGGCTTTATCTCATTCCTTGAGTTGTGTGTGTACATCCATTATTGAGCTTTGGTCCCATTCCTTGAGTTGTGTGTGTACATCTATTATTGGGCTTTGGTCTCATTCCTTGAGTTGTGTGTGTACATCCATTATTAGGCTTTGGTCTCATTCCTTGAGTTGTGTGTACATCCATTATTGGGCTTTGGTCTCATTCACTGAGTTGGGTGTACATCCTTTATTGGGCTTTGGTCTCATTCCTTGAGTTGTGTGTGTACATCCATGTAACAGATCTGGCTAATCTGTAAAGTGTAATCTGTAATGGTTCCTTGCCTCTCTGCCAGATGCATTCTGACCTTGAAGGAAACCCCTAATTAGTCAAATCTTTTGACTTTCAGTGGGTCTACCTATGTACCAAGCAGATAGGCCGGCTTGCTAGCTATTGCATCATCACAGAACCCCCCCCCCCCTTCCCAGTAACTAAAAAGATGGATTTTCATATTCAGAGTCATTATTTTGCAGAGGTTCCTTTTTTTCAATGAAGGGAAGTAATGACTGACTACAAACAGAGCATTCATTCCCTTTGACTAAGGAAACAGGTGTACTGTTGACACAGCAACATAAAGCAAAGTGACTTCATGATGAGTTTTTTATGATGGATGTCACAATAAAAAAAAAATGTAAATTTGTTCACCCCAAAACTGCATTTTTATTCTTGTTTTTGTGTGGTAAATATAATCACAACCTTTACATCTACACACTATGCAGCTGCAATCAGATTCAAAGCTATTATACAGGCAGTGGAAAAACTACCCAAAGATGTTATGTCATCAAAAAAGTACAAGTTGGAAAACTTACTTTCTCAGGGTGATTGAGTTATATTTAATCAGGTCAGGATACAGTATAGTAGCTATGTACTGGATACAGTATAGTAGCTATGTACTGGATACAGTACAGTAGCTATGTACTGGATTGTCACAAAACGATCTCAGTGGTTCCAGAAGTTAGTACTTGTAATAAGTTTTTCTGGTTCTAAAGAGAGAGGATTATATTTACTCTGCCCTTTACCCTAATATTACTTTAAACCAAATTGATTTAAAATGTTTCCAGTCCTTCTCCGAGACCAAGCCACTGCGCTTTGTTTAAAATTACCTAACACTACATAATACAGCCCGCTGGTTCAGACTAGGGATGTAGGTTTGATTCTCACGCCAGTGTCAGAATGTTATCTCCTAACACAGCCTGAGTGGGGCCCTTTTGAACGGGGGAATTGAGTGGACGCTAGACATTGTGGAGCCGGGAGGTCGGAGTTTCGCAAGTCAGTGTAATTCTTGGCAGAACAGGTGTTTGGCAATTAGGAATGTTTGATCTGGGTCAAGTAGTAAACACAATGGCTTCATGGACCGTTTTCACACCGGCTAGTTAGATTCGTTGTAAACTAGATTGGGTCACTTAAGACTGTTTGCTCTAGGGATGTCAGTCCAGAATTGACTGACAGGCCACTTGTTAGCTAATTTGATCTGATAGGTACTTCAGAGGCGTGGCTTAAGTCATCATCTTGAGGGTTGGGTAGAACCGAGGAAAGGGAGGAGTTTAATTTGGACAATAGATTGATACTTATACTTCGAGCCTGTGGAATTCCCGTCATTAATCGCAGCCTGCCGGCAAACAAACACAGGTCGACGTAAAAGTATTTTACGTCGCATTCTGGTTTGGCGATTGATGGAAAGTTCCTAGCGCCCATGTGATGATCAGTCCATGAAGTAGACTACATTGTGTTAGACTCGGCCAGCGGAGAACGAGGTGGAGAACAAGGTGGAGAACGAGGTGGAGAAACAGGCAGAAACAAGCAGGGAAGAAGTTGGAAGAGAAGGAAGAGCTTGACAGTGCTCACGGCTGTCAGAGGTTCTATGATAACTAAGTTATGTCATAAATTGTTCATACGTTATCACCTTCATCACAACATTCTAATCCCAGGTGCTGTTTTCTCCCTGAAGCATTTCATCACTATCTATTATAACAATAATGATGACTAAGGTCATACTCTGATTGCTAGGTTAATAAATCAAATATATGGTCTTATCCTGCATCAGTTTTTGTAATTCCAAATGTCTGTTCTTACATGTTTAACTAAACTGTTAAGATAGAATACCATTTGGTGGGGGCTCAAATAATATGATAATAATTCTTTAATTATTAATAATAACACCGGGAGAAGGTAGATGGCGGAGGAATCATTTGCCCTGTCTAATAATTCATTAAGTATAATGCTATAGACATCTAATATTCCTTTCCTTCTCTTGTGGGTACCAAGTGCAGCTAATGTTAAAGTACTTAACGAGCCAATATGGTTGTTTTCTTGGATATCCAGGACTTTGTCTGAGAGCAACATAGCTCGGATTTTAGTTCCGTTAATCTGGTGGAGGGAATGTGTTGAGAGGAAAATCCCTACTCAACATTTAAAACATTTTATCCACGCGTCACGTCACATGGATACAGTATAGTAGCTATGTACTGACTGGGATTAAGCTTACGGAAGTAACAAATTCCTCAATAGGCTTTACATATTTCAAGAGACACCAACCCAGTGCTCAGAGAGATATATGAGGGCAAGTACCTGCTGTCCTACTAGGCTTGTCCACCTTGTGATAGAAGGTAGAGTGATGTCTTGACACTGAGGTTATTAATGACTATACAAAGTGAACTGAATAAGCAGATGATGACCAACAAGGGCTATGCCAATGAGTAACATGAGTGATTTGTGTGAGAGGCAGTTAATTATTAAATAAAACTGTGAGACGATGACCGAATTTCAACCTGAGGACTGTAATAAGTGAAATGTACTGGTCAGATGTTGGAGAAATATTTCTACAGATAATTATTTTGGGAACCATGGTAAAGATAAGCTCGCTTGCCTCCCAGTTTAAAGTTTGTGTTTTTAAAAGTAATTCTGTCCTGCACATGCAACCACACCATTATAGTTATGTACTAACCTTGTTCACAAGACACACATTACAGTTGTATTTCACTAAAAGCTCTGCTGTCTGACTAAATCCATTCCAACATGCCTCGTGGATAGCTGCATTCCCATGCTAATAAAGACAATTATTTAAGAATTAACTTAAATTACCTGAATTACCAAATTCCTACAGAATTCAGTCATACTATGCAAGTGATTTGGCAAAAATCTCTTTGTGAAACTTATTTGCATTAATATCCTTTGATAAAATGACTTGGTATTGAATACTCACATTATGCCCAAAGACTAGTTAATTTACTTAAACTGTTTGTTTGATAAAAAAAAATTGTTTCACAATAGTATGTAAAAAACATGTATGCTGATGTTTAAAAATGGCACTGAAAAAATTCCATAATCAAACAGGTGGTAGAACATTAGGAACCTCATTCTTCATTACATGTCAACTGCTGCTATAATCTTGAGTGCATTGAGTCCCTATTAGAACTTTGCAGCGGCATGCAGTTTGATGTGATAAGATCAGAAAATACTAAAAGGACTTGAGGTCCAACAAATAGACAAGATAACATGCAAATACAGGAAGTGATTTCAATGCTAAACTGAAATGTAAAAATAAGATTATGAAGTTCTCAATTTCAAAGTGGTTTATGAAGGAAGTTCTCAATTTCTTAATCATGTGGCCAGGGAAAGCCCTGAAACTGGCTTTTCTGTTGTTGCACAGCATCACGAGGTCTTGTGTACGAATATATTTACTAAAAAAAACATTTAGAGGGTATTTTTGTGGACGAAGTGGTTTTTTTAAAGCCATGTTGACATTGCAGTTTCCAAATAATCATCAGTAATGGAGGTCACAGCATGAGTCACCCAATTCATGTGTTTGTTTAGGCTCAAGGGAATGTACTCCATATAGTCTTCACTCTGTTAATTTTAACTGATTATCCCCTTTATATATCTTTACATAACCACCCCCCCCCCCTGTGTCCTGTTCTAAGGTGTAGAAGAATAACTTGCTCTGGTCTGTCCCTAATATGGTAATCGTCTTGTGCCAGTTTTGGTTGCTTTCTGATTAATTTGATTATTCTCTTCTTCTAATGATAAGAAATTGTTACTTTAGGATGTTTTTCATTTGCACCTTTGTTATCTAGTTTATCAGCTCCCTCATTTCCAGGAACTCCACAGTGAGATGATATCCACTGCATAGTTATACCCTACACCGGTTTCCAAGTTTGGACAGTAATAAAAGATAATTTTCTTCATGTATCATCGATCATATTAGTTATTTAATTTAAGATAACTTGATTCAAATGCTGAATCAGTTTACATCAACAAAGTTTACATAAGATTTATCTAAATGATCAACTGAACCTTAACATTTGATGCAAACGTTTTACAACACAATAAAATTGCACATGTATTACCTCATCTTGTACATCTATATAGCAACCCGCATCAAGCAGCATCTGTACTGTATCTGTTGCTCCTTGTGATGTTGCCTTGAGCAGTGGTGTACAGCCCATCTAAAAATAATCAAGGACAAACATACATTTTAAATATTTTAAAGTACTTTGGATTTCAACATGTATTTCCAAACAACAGTACGATGTGTTTATGAACACAGCAGTAAGAAGAGCAAGAGGTAGAACTGTATATCTCCTTGACACATGTAGTGGTAAAAGCAGTAAATGAATACTTAGGACATTTATGAAAAAAGTTTAAACAGGACCTGCTGTGAAATATTTGCCCAAATCTCCTCCCTATTAGTTTTAATATCAAGTGTATAGCTACATTTTGCTACTGCATTACAGTTATGTCAAACAGCGGTTGTTGGTTTCCTACCAAACTGGTCTAAAAAAATACCCTCATTGTCTGAGAAAAGCCACCAACTTCACCATGCGAGACAAAGCTAGAATTGATATTATTGACAGACTGTAGGAACGACACCATGCAGCAAATCCACTAAGAAACAAAATCAAATGGTTTGGTCATCTAGTAAGATTGCAGCCAGAACAACTACCAATGCAAGTGCTTCACATGAAAGGATCTGAAGTGAAAGTAAGAGGTCACCCTAGGAGATGATGGACAGATTACAATAAAGAGCTTCTACATCGACATGGATTGACAACAGCCACTCCTGCCCATCAAACAATGGATCTAAACTGTTCCTCCCCATGACACTTAATAGCAAGTGGAGACTAATGATGATGAATACCTTCACTAACTTTCATTGATCACAGATCTATCTGTGTTATTTCACCCTGAAATTCACTTTTGCCTTAAATTATTCCTTTTAAATGATAAATTTGGGCGAGGACAGGAGTGGTTCAAACTGTTGAGCAAGTTTCAGACTTGTGTAGGGTTCTAACAACTTTAGGTTGTGAGTGCAGGGACTGGCCAACTGGTGCTGCAGAATCAGAGGTTCTTCCAATGAATCATGACAATTCATACCAAGGTGTTGTGATTATCTATACAGATGGCTCTGTATTGAGGGGCAGAGGAAGTGCGTGGGGGTTCATGACAGGAGATCCGCTAACAAGGTTTCCTACCCACTGGTGACCCAATGATAATTATCTTAGGTTTCCTACCCACTGGTGACACACTGATAATTATCTTGGGTTTCCCATCCACTGGTGACACAATGATAATTATCTTGGGTTTCCCATCCACTGATGACACAATGATAATTATCTTAGGTTTCCCATCCACTGATGACACAATGATAATTATCTTAGCTTTTCCATCCACGGGTGACACAGTGATAATTATCTTAGGTTTCCTACCCACTGGTGACACAATGATAATTATCTTGGGTTTCCCATCCACTGGTGACAGTGATAATTATCTTAGCTTTTCCATCCACGGGTGACACAGTGATAATTATCTTAGCTTTCCCATCCACTAGTGACAGTGATAATTATTTTAGGTTTCCAATCCACTAGTGACAAAGTGATAATTATCTTGGGTTTCACATCCAGTGATGATAGTGATAATTATCTTAGCTTTTCCATCCACTAGTGACAGTGATAATTATCTTAGGCTTCCCATCTATCTGTGACATGATAACCATCTTATGTTTCCTATCCACTGGTGACAACGTGATAATTATCTTAGGTTTCCTGTCCACTGGTGACAACGTGATAATTATCTTATGTTTCCTATCCACTGGTGACAACGTGATAATTATCTTAGGTTTCCTGTCCACTGGTGACACAGTGATAATTATCTTAGGTATGCCATCCGCTGGTGATATTTCTATGTCAAATGGATAGTAACAAAGGAATGTAAATGTTCCTGTATGATTTACAGTTCAAGAGACAATTTCTCAGTTTCTGAGCTAATTAGGTTATGTTATCACAATAAATGCCACTGCATAATGGGCATTCACATGTATGCTTGGTTCTCTGATGCAGCAGCCATCTAAAGGTACCTCAACTGATTGTACATTAGTTGAGGTACAATATATAACCATACTCTTGACAGGGAAATGTGAAACATCTATAGTAAAGTTTACAGTAATGAGGAAGGAGGGGTCACTAACCAAATGTGATATGAGAAATACCAAGGGCCACTACTATGCCAGCAATCAGCCTAGAATAAAGGCTAAGTAATCCTATCAGAAATAATCACCTTTAGTGTATGTAAGGCTGAGTAATCCTAGCAGATATAATCCCCTTTAGAGTATGTGAGGCTGAGTAATCCTACCAGACATAATCCCCTTTAGAGTATGTAAGGCTGAGTAATCCTACCAGACAAAATCCCCTTTAGAGTATGTAAGGCTGAGTAATCCTACCAGACATAATCACCTTTAGTGTATGTAAGGCTGAGTAATCCTACCAGACAAAATCCCCTTTAGAGTATGTAAGGCTGAGTAATCCTACCAGACATAATCACCTTTAGTGTATGTAAGGCTGAGTAATCCTACCAGACATAATCACCTTTAGTGTATGTAAGGCTGAGTAATCCTACCAGACATAATCACCTTTAGTGTATGTAAGGCTGAGTAATCCTACCAGACATAATCACCTTTAGTGTATGTAAGGCTGAGTAATCCTACCAGACATAATCACCTTTAGTGTATGTAAGGCTGAGTAATCCTACCAGACATAATCACCTTTAGTGTATGTAAGGCTGAGTAATCCTACCAGACATAATCACCTTTAGTGTATGTAAGGCTGAGTAATCCTACCAGACATAATCACCTTTAGTGTATGTAAGGCTGAGTAATCCTACCAGACATAATCACCTTTAGTGTATGTAAGGCTGAGTAATCCTACCAGACATAATCACCTTTAGTGTATGTAAGGCTGAGTAATCCTACCAGACATAATCACCTTTAGTGTATGTAAGGCTGAGTAATCCTACCAGACATAATCCCCTTTAGTGTACACAAATCCTTTGAAAACTGCCACCAGTTAATGATAATAATGGACCCAGTGGGCCAACAGCAGAATCTCTATTTTGAGATTAAGGGAAAAGACATACAATCCTGTGACTAGACTTCCCTAGAAGTCAGCCTGTGTTGCAACTGCACATCAGATTGTCATGCAGAGTGACCACACAATTGATGATAAAGCTGTTAATGATGGAGCAAAAGCTTTTTCATCTGGAAGTGACAGGACATTCTAGATTGTGAAAATGGTGACACCGTTGTCCTCAATAGTGTGGGTTTGTGGGTGTGACCTGTGTAACGATCACAGCAGAAACTACTATCCCACAAAATTCAAAGGAAGCTAGCAGCACATCAAAGTCATGTTCACTAACTCCCATGAGGGGGTGGGGGGTGCATTTAAAGGATGCAGCACGAGTGCAAAACTGTTTCTGATTAATTATTTGTTGTCCATATCAACACCCTAGCATAATGGTTCGACCCATTCATGCTCTGTCTGATGCAACATTCATCTCAGTGTCTCCATGCTCACCTTACTGGTAGGAACTGACTGGCATATCTTCTTATTTTGCCCAGCAATCATCTCGTACCTCATGACCATATCTAGCAGGTTGAGAATACATCACATGGCGTGACATGCACCCCAGGATCGGTCTCATAGCTTCATATTGCACCACTCATGGGAGGTAATTAGCATGACTTTGATGTGTTGCTTGCTTCTTTTGACCTTAAAGATCATGGGATACCATGTGCATCAATACTACTTGAAGGTCATCTGTCACCTCTGAGATGCTGTTTGTTACAAAGGACTTGATCTGTTGCCAATTGGAGCTTGTCAGCTCCATTACAACAATTCACCCATCTATTCTTTGAATGTGAATAATATTTTCCTAACCAATCACATTTTTTTGGCTTGTGATATACTTTATGCTACTATGCTACACTACCCCACAATATTGAAGTATATCTGACATTCTCTAGAATGCATTATTTCCTTTTCCCGTGAAGGTTCTGAGGCCCATTTTGTGTGAAAAAATTTAGACTGACTGCCCCCTTAACAAGCATGTCCTAAAAGGTGACTAATTAGGGATTTTCTAAAGCTGGATATGTGGGGCATAACGGTGCAGATATCAAGTTTAGCAGTAGAATTCAACATAAAGGACTAACAACTCTTGTAAGGGCAAATGTAGAAAAAGTATTTTATTTGTGCCTTTCAGTCTGATAACTTATTTAATTGAAGAGATACAAATAAGAGCAATATATATATTTCCTCAATGAATATATTGCAGACCTTAATGAATATCACTGCGAATGTGTTTTCAACTGTTTAATTATAATGTGCAATATTTCAGCGAGAATAAATTTGATCACGAACTACAAGAAACACAAGCGGGTTTTAGATGTGGCAGAGGAACAAGAGACCATATTTTTAATATCAGAGTCATCCTAGAGAAGTGTACGAACGAACGAACAAACATACTGTATCTTCAAAGGGTCACAAATTAGGCATGCAGGCCCGTCTCACATTTAGCCCTGCTAAACACCCATCTTTCACACATAAGTTGTATTTTATCCATAAAGCATGTTATGTTCATGTAATAATATGTGTATTACGAATATCAAGTCAAAAATAAAAGCATGGGTGGTAAAATGAATGTGCACGTATGTGCTCGCATTCACAAACAAACCCATTCACTCACTTAAACACACACTTAGGCACCCAATGCACACATCCACATCCACATACACACATACATGCACATACATACATACATGTGCACGTACACAAATACATACATACATACATACATACATAATTCATACATACAAACATACATGCATACATTCATACACACACACTCATACACAGTCACACACAAACACACTCTCAAGAACAAACAATCTAAGACACACATGCAAACAACCCAGACACACACACACACACACACAAACACCCATAACAGCACAAATAGACACCTACAAACACACACACAGATGCACACAGACATAAACCCACACAGACACACACACAGCCACATGCACACACACACAGACAGACACACACAGGCATGGACACACACAGACACACACAGGGACATACGCAAGGCTCACATATACACAGAAACACACATA